TTTTTAGGATTATTTATTTATTTATTTATTTATTCCGCACCAGATGCGCGGTGGGGAGGGGGGTGGTGGTGAGAGGATTCACCAGAGACAGAGTGGGAACAGAACAGGCAGACTGATGAAATACACTGTCGAGGGGAGCAGCGGGCACGACAGGAAAGGTCTGCTGCGCCATGTGGGACCCTCGCCAGCTGGGATTGAACCCGCACTGCAGAGGCTGTGGACAGCTTCACAGTGCTGCGCTCAACCGCCTGCGCCACCAGGGGAGACCCAAACAACAAATTTTTGATAGAAGAACAACAGCCATATAGTGGAGAAAAGGCAGCCTTTTTAATAAATGTGCTGGGAAACACACATAGCCATTGGCAAAAAAAAAAAAAGCAAGACCCATATTTAACACCATAGACGAACATTCACTCAAAACGGATTAAAAATTTGGACATCAGAAATTAAAACAAAGTACTTGAAAGAAAGGATGTCTGCTACAAAGATATCTTTGGGAATACAACTCCAATAGCAAGGAAAATAAAAGTAAAAATAAACAAGTGGGACTATATTAAATAAAACATCATGAAAGCAAAAAGGCAGGGGCCTCCCTGGTGGCGCAGGCTGTTGAGCGCAGCGCTGTGAAGCTGTCTGCAGCTTCTGCAGTGCCAGTTCGATTCCCACCAGCCTCAGAGCAACCCATATGGCAAGCAGACCTCTCCTGTCTCGCCTGTTGCTCCCCTCAGCAGTATTTCGTCAGTCTGCCTGTTCTGTTCCCAGCTCTGTCTCTGGAGAATTCACTCACCCTCCCGCGTGTCTGGCCTGTACCCCGGCTCTTGTATAAATAAAATAAATCTTTTAAAAAAAAAAAGGTAATCTACAGAATGGGAACAAACATTTGCATATGATATGTCTGACATGAGGTTAACCTCCAAAAATGACAAAGTACTTACACAATCCAACAACAAAGAAACAAATGATCCAATTTTAAAAATGTGCAAAGGATCTAAACAGACACTTCTCCAGACCTCCCTGGTGGTGCAAGGGGTTAAAACACAACCTATGACTCTATCCACAACCACTGCAGCACAAGTTCAATCGCCGGCCAGGGAGCTACCCACATGGCGCAGCAGACCTCTCCTGACTCGCCCGCAACTCCCCTCAGCAGTGTATTTCAGTCAATCTGCCTGTTCTGGTCCCTACTCTGTCTCTGGTGAATCCTCTCACCACCCCTCCCCCCCATGCTTCTGGCCTGTACCCCAGTTCTTGTATGCATAAATGAATAAATCTTTAAAAATAAATAAATAAACACATTTGGCCTATGGCCTATACACATATGAAAAAATGTTTAACATTACTTATTATAAGAGAAACGCAAATTAAAAAAAACAGTGAGGTACCACCTCACCCCTGTGAGAATGGCCCATATAAAAAAGAACACAATTAACAAGCGCTGGCAAGGTTGCAGTGAAAAAGGAGCTCTCTTCAACAGTTGGTCATAATGCAAGCTGGTAGAGCCCCTGTTGAACGGAGTATGGAGATCTCAAGAAAATAAAAGTGGAAACTCTGTTTGACTCATCAATACTGCTATTAGGTATTTACCCAAATAACACAAGAAATCCAATACAAAGAGATCTATCTACACCTCTGTACATAACAGCACTATTTACAATTGTCAAATCATGGAACCAAAGCAAATGCCCTTCAACAAATGAATGGACAGAGAAACTGTGAAGTATATAGTCAAGGGAATATTACAGAGCTGTGAAGAAAGATGAAACAGTGATATTTGGCACAAAATGAACAGATCCTGAGGTGATTATGTTGAGTGAATTCAGTTCAAAAAGTGAAAGAGAGATTTCTGATGGTTTCACTCATTTGCAGAATAAAAATACCTAAAAAGGGCCTCCCCTGGTGGCGCAGCGGTTGAGCGCTGGGTTGCGAAGCTGCCCGCAGCCTCTGCAGCGCCAGTTCAATCCCCGGCTGCTCCCCGGCCACCGGAGGAGGGTCCCACATGGCGTGCAGACCTCTCCTGCCGCCCGCTGCTCCCCTCAGCAGTGTACTTCGGTCCTTCTGCCTGCTCTGCTCCCCGCTCTGGCTCTGGTGAATTCTCTCACCCTCCCGCACTTCTGACTGTACCCAGTGCTTGTATAAATAAATAAATCTTAAAAAAAAAAAAACCAAAAAAAAGTTAAATTCAGGGCCACCCTGGTGGCGCAAGGGATTAAGTGTCAGCACTTTGAAGCTATCAGCAGCCACAACAGCATGAGTTTGATCCCCGGCCAGGGAGCTGCCCATATAGCACAGCAGACCTCTCCCGACTCACCCACTGCTCCCCTCAACAGTGTATTTCAGGTATAAAATGAGAAAGTTCTGGGAGTCTAATGTACAGCACTGGGACTGTAGTTAATAATACTATATTGCTGGGCCTCCCGGTGGCGCAGCAGTTGAGCACTGGGTTGCAAAGCTGCCCGCAGCCTCTGAAGCGCCGGTTCGATCCCCGGCTGCTCCCCGGCCACCGGAGGAGGGTCCCACATGGCGCCCTCTCCTGCCGCCCGCTGCTCCCCTCAGCAGTGTATTTCGTCAGTCTGTCCGTTCTGCTCCCTGCTCTGGTGAATTCTCTCGCCCTCCCGCACTTCTGACTGTACCCAGTGCTTGTATGAATAAATAAATAATCTTTAAAAAAAATAATAATAATACTATATTGTTTATTTCAAAGCTGCTAAGAAAGTAGATATTAAAAGTTTTCACACACACACACAAAACTGTAATAGTATGAGGTGATGGATGTGTTAACTATTGTAATTATTTCCCAATATATACATACACAAATCATCACACCCCGTACCTCAAACTGTCATAATGTTATAAGTCGATTTTATTTCAATTAAACTGGGGGAAAATGAAATGAAATGAAATTTTAATTAAAAAAAAAAAGTCCAGAATTTTGCTTCCTTCCACTTATGGGACTCGCTTCTAGAGGAGACAGACTGAGGGTTAGCCCTGCTCAGCCTGTGCTCCGGCTGCTGCATGACGATGGCTGGTCTTCTCTTGCAAAGGGCTGATTGTTGCTTTGAGGTGAGGAAGACGGAAGAGAACGAAGCCATGAACTTCCTTGGAGAGCCCTCAGAGCCCTGTCCTGTGAGATAAGAAGGGGACTTAAGCCAGACCCCACCAGGAGTCAGCCAGCAGCAGTCAATGAAGGAGCAACTGAGAGCAACCCCTAACCAGAAGGTTGTGTTTCAAGGCAGGAGTGAATTGCTTTTGATGCTTGGACACTTCCCTGGGCTCTAGCCTGGCTGTCAAGGTGGCCACCAGGTCCCAAGGTCAGCTTATTGGGCAGCTCTCCAACCCTAACTCACAAAAGGAGCTGACTCCAGGGTTGAGGCCCAAATGTTAAAAGAGCACGATTCCCTAGAAGCAGTCCTCTCCTCCTCTTCCTTTTCTCTTTTATCTTCACCTCTGTGGTTATTTCAGAACTACTTATTTAGCATATACTGCCTACCCAGCCAAGACCTTGGCAACACACGTAAAATGAATTCATTCAACACACACACACAATGTTCTGTCTCCTCTGTCTCCTCCCATCAGTGGAAGGAAGCAAAATTCTGGACTTTTTTTTTTTTTTCAATTAAAATTTCATCTCATTTCATTTTTTCCCAGTTTAATTGAAATATAATTGACTTATAACATTATGACAGTTTGAGGTACAGGGTGTGATGATTTGTGTATGTATATATTGGGAAATGATTACAATAGTTAACACATCCATCACCTAATACTATTAGTTTTTTTTTGTGTGTGTGTGTGAATTCATTGTGTGAATTCATTCAACACACACACACAAATCAATCAATCCTTGATGATGAGACCCAGAGAGTGAAAACCACCCAAATGTCCATTGACTGATGAATAAACAGAATGTGCCATATCTGTGCAGAAAGACTATCATACAACATAAAAAAGAATGAATCACGCTACAAGACGGGTGAATCTGAAAACACAAGGTTCAATGAAAGAAGCCAGTCAGAAGATCACATACTGGGGCCTCCCTGGTGGCCTATGGGTTAAGTCTCAGCACTATCACCACTATAGCCTGAGTTCGTTCCCCGGCTAGGGAGCTACCCACATGGCGTAGCAGACCTCTCTTGTCTTGCCTGCTGCTCCCCTCAGCAGTGTATTTGAGTGGATCTGCCTGTTCTTCTCCCCACTCTGTCTCTTGTGAATCCTCTCACCCCCTGCACCTCTGGCATATACCAAAGTTCTACGCAAAAAAAAAATAAATAAAATTCAAAAAACAAAACAAAATTTCTTAAAAAAAAAAAAAAAAAATCACATACTGTGTAATTTCCTTCCTATGAAATGGCCAGAACAGGCAAACCCTAGAGATAGAAAATAGATCAGTGGTTGCCTGGGACTGATGAATAAAGGCTGGAAGAGCAATGAAAATATTCTAAAACTGATGTTAGCGGTGGCGACACAACTCTGCAGATACCAAAAACCACTGACTTGTACATTTTAAGTGGGTGCATTGTATGGCATGTGAATTACAACTCAATAAAGATGATGATTTTATAAGTCCCTGCCTGCCCTGACAAAAGGGGGAAAACAGAAAAATAAAATGTTTAACCATAAAGAGTATAAAACTATCAGTGCTCGGGAAAGAAAAAGCAGGGAAGGGAGACAATACACATGGAGTCTGCAATAACAGGTTGCAGACAGGGGCTCTTACTCAGGGCAAAGATCCGAAGAAGCCAGCAGGGAGCCACCTGGAAAAGTGCTCCAGAAACTCTAGTGCACCAAATGCCCAGTAGAAAAAGCTCAGCAAAGAGCGCTAAGTGGCTCTAAGCAGCACCAGGTGCTGTGAGAAAGGACCTCCCCAGGGCGAGAAGAGCACCGCACTACCATGCCAATTCAGAGTTGCAGAGCTTCTGAAAATATTTGTTGGGTGACTGAATAAGTGAATCAACCCACTCCACCCCAAACTGCCCCCAGCTCTACCCGTTCCAAGTCGTTACCTTTCCAGCCCATTTTGATGTTCCACTCATAGAAGAAAATCAGCTTTCCTTTGCGGCTGCTACAGGAAGCCTCACCTTCCACCTGCTTGAGCTCACTGACCTCGCAGCGGCCAGCTTCATTCTCTACCACCAGGCCCACCAGGAGCTCATGGAACTTCTCCTTGGACCAGCTGGTGGCATCTCGCTCTGTCCTGTCAGGGAACCAAGGGCAGAGCCATGAATGGAGGCCCAGCTGGTACCGCCGTGCCCAGCCTGGGGCTTCAGGTTAATGGCCAGGTCTAACCCAGATCAGCTGATTCCTCTAAAGCAGCTTTGAGGAACCTACTATCCTCAAACTTTCATGCTTCTCAAATTAGTGCTCTACCAAATATCTTTTAGACCTCCCGTTCAGTTCCTTAAGATATTATTCTCCACTATGTAAAGTAGTGTTTTGCTTTTTCTAAAAAAGACTTATTTATGCACACAAGAGCTGGGGTGTAGACCAGAGGTGCAGGGGAGGGGAGGAAGGGGGTTGAGAGGATTCACCAGAGGCAGAGTGGGGAGCAGAACAGGCAGATCTACTGAGATACACTGCTGAGGGGAGCAGTGGGTGAGACAGGAGAGGTCTGCGGTGCCATTGGGTCAGCTCCCTGACATTGGATGGAACTGTGGCTGTGGATAGCTTCATAGTGCAGACACTTAACCCTCTGCGCTACCAGGGAGGCCTAAAGTAGTACTTTGAATTAAAACACATTGGTTTACTTTGGGGAAGGGGTGGGGGGGTCTAACAATCTTACCCACTGGAAATGTGCAAAGCCTAGACCATGTAAAAAAGCAGTAATAATGGAAATAATTTTAATCATAAAGCAGCTAATCAGGCCTCCCTGGTGGCGCAAGGGGTTAAGATGCAACCTATGAAGCAATCTGCAGCCTCTGCAGCACGAGTTCAATCCCCCAGCTGGCCAGGGAGCTACCTGCATGGCGCAGCAGACCTCTCCTGACTCGCCCGCTGCTCCCCTCAGCAGTGTGTTTCAGTAGATCCACCTATTCTGCTCCCCCACTCTGTGTCTGGTGAATCCTCTCACCACCACCACCCCCCCCCCCAACCTCTGGCCTGTACATCAGTTCTTGTATGCATAAATAATCTTTAAAATTAAAAGCAACTTATCAAGTGTTTTCACATATAGATTCTCTCATGCAATCTTCCCAAATAATGTTCCCATTTTAGGGGGTGGAAACAAAGTTGAAAAAGGTCCCTGATGTGTCCATGGTGACAGGGCTAGGAAAGGTCAGGCCACGGTTGCCCCAGGAAATGAGCCCCTCCAGACTACCGGCCCTCTCTGCCCTTTAGGTCATTACTTCGGGTACTAAGGTACTCGACCCTCAGAAGAGCAGGGCAGAGCATCATTTCCAAAAGTGTGGGGGAACAGGGGGTGGCAGAAGGCAGCCCGTACTCCAGGCGAGGTACAGCAGGGTGGGTAACTGCTTCAAGCTCCCGGAAGGCAGGGCTCGCCGGAGGCGCAGCAAGCTCTGTGCAGACTCAAGCCCAAACGCTGGACTTCCACCACTACGCACTCACCCAGGCCCTTCTAGCGCCCTCTGAACTCCCAGAAACATCGGGGGGGGTGGGGGGATAGGGGCAAGGTCACAGAAAGTCACAAGCTGAGGAGCAGTCGGGGCGCGGCAGGAGTCAGCGCGGGGCTCAACCCAACTTTCAAGCACGGGTCAGGAGGTCCCGGCGCGGGCGCGGGTAAGATCCCGGGCGTCCAGCCCCAGGGGCTCCCACGCCAGAAGGCCGCGGAGAGCAGCTGGGGGGCGGGGGTCCCCCGCGCTGTCCCCACCCTCGCCCAGCCCGGGGTCCCCGCGGCCGGCCGCTCGCTGGGGCGCCGCCCCGTCCCGCCCGGCGGCTGGGGAGGAGGCCCGGAGGCCGCAGCCCGGCCCGGCCCGCGCCCGGCGCACCAGTGCCAGTTGTTCACGTTGGTGGCGTCCGCCCGCCGCTCCACGATCCAGCGCGGGTCCCCCGGCCCCACCTGGCCATGTCTCTGCGCGGCGGCGCGGACCCCGCCGAGAACAGGGGGGACCGCAGCGCAGGAGGCGGCGGGGCGGCTCAGGCGCCGCAGTTCCCGGCCCGCGAGGCTGAGGACTGAGGGTTCGCGGTGCCCAGAAAGTGCCAGAAATCCCTCCTCCTCCTCACCGCCCCGCCCCGCCCCGCTGCCCGGGAGCCGGCGCCCCACCCAGTAGTGAGACGCCTGGGCGCGGGGCGGGCGGGGCGGGGCCCGGGGGCGGGCGGGGCGGGGCCCGGGGGCGGGGCGAGGCCCGGGGGGCGGGGCTGGTGGGGCGGGGCCCGGGCGGGGCGGGGCGGGGCCCGGGCGGGGCGGGCCCGGGGCGGGGCCTTGGCGAGGTGGGCTTCCCGAATGGCGGGACAGAGCGGGCGGAGGTTGGAGGCCGGGGCGGAGAGGGCTTATGGGGTGAGCCTAGAGGCCTAAGTGTGGGTCTGTGCGGTACTGGAACAGGGCGGAGGGGTGTTCCCGGAGGTCGGGACCCGGCTGGCGGCTCGCAAGGGCAGGTGCCCAAAAGGGGAAGCCTCGGCACCCTCTTAAATGCCGAAACACCCCTCCAGGATTCATCATCGCTGTGACGATTATTTCCAGCGCGAGGAGCGGATGGCGAGTGGCGCGCGGGCCGCGTGTACACGCTGACCGGCGGCGTTCTGCGGGGTCACCCCGGACCTCGCTGTGTCCTGGGAGTCCGGCCCGCGGCCTCAGTGACCCTCTTGGCTCTGCCACCGACCTGTGAGGCGGGAGCGCAGCCGGCGCGACGCCGTCCCTCCTCCGAGCACGCGCTCCTCAACCACGTTTATTTTCCATCTGCAAGTTCCTGCAGAGGTGGTGCCCGATAGCTCGCCCCTGGACTCCGGTCTCGAGCCTTCCAGCATCTGTACGAGTAGCACGAGCTGGCCACTTCCCAGGGGCTTCGGGAACCTTTACACTTTAGCCATGTCGTGGTCCTTTACAGATGACGAAAGAACATGATTGAATTCGCATATTAGTGTAGCCTGATGCGATTTTACAAGCGTGTGGTTACTATTTAACGAATTTTCACCTTCTAGCAAAAACTTTGCACCAACTACGTGGAAGATGTTACTAGGGTGTCTGGAATTTTATTTATTTATGGTGAATCTTTATTTAGCAGGGGTAACCGGTATGACAAGGGTGGAAGGACCCAGCTGTTTCTATTCATCTGTGATGACCTGTCTTTTGCCTTATCAATAAAATAAGCTAGCTGGTAGAAAACATTGCCTTCATTTACTTACGGAGTTAGTACATTCCGAACTCATTTTCAAAAACAAGCCACAGCAATTATATAAGCAGACTGCTTTCAAACTGTTTTAAATCCAAAAAAATGACATTTTGATTTTACTTTTTATACTCTTTTTTACTTTTTATAGCCTGGTACTATACTCCACTTCATCAAAGGCATGGGCAACCAACAGAGGTATGAAGAGAAGATTGCAATGGCAGTTCTAGAGGACATAATTGTGAATTAGTTCTTCATCCTTTATTCAATTCATAAAGGATATTACTGATAGAACATTACAGGGTAAGATTTAGATTTGTAGATCTAAAGAACCTGGGGAAAAATAAAACTTACCAGAAAATTTACAAAGAGAGATGATATAATCATGAAATTTTAGTGGACAAAAAAGCAGTTGTAACTTTCATATAAAAATAATTTATCCTAGGGCCTCCCTGGTGGCACAGGGGTTAAAGTCTCAAAGCTATCAAGCTATCACCCGCCACTGCAGCATCAGTTCAATCCCTAGCCACGGAGCTAACCCACACGGCGCAGCAGACCTCTCCTGTCTTGCCCGCTGCTCCCCTCAGCAGTGTATTTCAGTCAGTCTGCCTGTTCTGTTCCCTGCTCTGTCTCTGGTGAATCCTCACAGCACCTGCACTTCTGGCCTGTACTCCAGTTCTTGATGTATAAATAAATAGATCTTTTTTAAAAAAGTTTCTTTTTGTGTCAACTTAAATAGTAGTTGTCAATACAAGAAAACTCAATGATGATTTTGTAAAAGATCCTCATCCTAGTTTTTGGAAGTTTCCATGGTGATAGCAGTGATGTTACTGGGTCATGAGTACCCATGATCAGAGCACTGAGAACATGTGCTACTTTCAAAGTCCCCATTAAATATGATATACCTAACAGACATCTGCACAAACACAAATAACTTTATTCATGTTAGAACAGTGTTTAAGAAGACAGAGTTTTAAGGACTCTTGATATAATCAATTTCTTGAACTCAGATTTGTTTTCAAAAAACTATATTCACGCTGAGTATTTTACTTACAGAATTTTGCATGTAGCCCACTATTTCTGCCTAAAGGTAAAATACTGACTGGATTTGCTTAATTCCCCATTGTTTTGCTGTTTCAACATGATTGTTATACCCCCTGTCATTTCATTGTTCAGTCTAAGGTTATATTTCTTTCACTTTTAGCCTCTTTTGAGCTTCATTTTCTCTCTTTATGTTGTCGAGTATAGCTTCGAGGTATAGGGGATGACTTCCCAAGGTCCACAACAATTACCTCCTTAGAAAATGTCACTCCTTTTAAAGGTCTTTTGTGGTTTTCAGCAGCTGAAGGAGGTTTATGCAAACTCTGATCCTGGAAGAAAATAGGACAAATTGTATAAATTGATCAATTAATGAATGCAACAAGTCCTGCTTTTAAAAAACATAGGTTGATTGGGCCTCACTGGTGGCACAGAGGGTTAAAGTCTCAGTGCTATCAAGCTATCAGCAGTCACTGCAACTTGAATTCGATACCCAGCCAGTGAGCTAACCCTCATGGTGCAGCAGACTCCTCCTGTCTCGCCTGCTGCTCCCCTCAGCAGTGTATTTCAGTAGATCCACCTGTTCTGCTCCCCATTCTGTCTCTGGTGAATCCTCTCACCTCCTCTCATATCTGTCCTACACCCCAGTTCTCCTATGCATAAATAAATAAAAATAAATCTTTAAAAATAAAATATATAGGTTGATAGATATATGTGCCTTGTTAGTGAGGAACAGAAAAATTATTTCTAAAAGATGTAAGAAAACAGTGATAATCCATCGTGATCTCATTTTAATAGTTCTGTGGTTACAAAAGCATATATTGATCTATTCAAATAGAATTTAGTGATATGTTATTCTCTCTGTGAAGTACTCAAATCCAAAAGGCACCTGGCCTGTCTTGCCTGACTGGGCAGGGGTTGTGTGCTGGAGGGTGGGAGGGTGAAAATCACTATGGAGCCCCAAACATGGAACTCAAGAAGGCACTGGCAACAGTTGTGTGCTTTTAGAGAAGAAGCCTGGAACTAGAACAGGGATATAGGGTCGGGTCCTGAACTTGGCCATTGTGGAGGTGTGGTCTTGAACAATTCATCTCATGTTCTCATTTGTAACACTCCTGAGAGTGCTGGATCCCTATGTGATCTCCAAAGTCTCTTTCCAGTTCTAAGATGCCAGGATTCTGAGAAAAGCAAAATGAAGGGGAATTATCAAGAAAAACACAAGTGTTGGGAAGAACAAGAAGCAAGTGTCTGGGCTTGGCACATAAAACCGGTTTAATAATATGAACCACTAAGAAGAGTGATTTAAATGACTGTGGATGGGCCTCCTGGTGGCGCAAGGAGTTAAGCACAGCACTATGAAGCAAACGGCAGCCTCTGCAGCAGCCTCTGAGTTTGATCCGAGGCCAAGGAGCTACCTACATGGTGCGGCAGCCCTCTTTTGCCTCGACCGCTGTTCCCTTCAGTAGTGTATTTCAGTCAGTCTGCCTGTTCTGTTCCCCACTCTGTCTCTGGTGAATCCTCACCCCCTGCATCTCTGGCCTGTACCCCAGCTCTTGTATGCATAAATAAATAAATCTTTAAAAAATAAAAATAAGGGCCTCCCTGGTAGCACAGGCGGTTGAACACAGCGCTGTGGAGCTGTCCGTGGCCTCTGCAGTGCTGGTTTGATCCCCGCCAGCCTTGGAGCAACCCACATGGCGAGCAGACCGCTCCTATCTCACCCGCTGTTCCCCTCAGCAGTATATTTCGTCAGTCTGCCTGTTCTGTTCCCTGCTCTGTCTCTGGTGAATCCTCTCACCCTCCCGGGCATCTGGCCTATACCCCAGTTCTTGTATAAATAAACATAATTCTTAAAAATAAATAAATAATAAATAATAAAATAAATAAATAAATGACTGTGGACACCGCAGGCCTTATAGGTCCAAACTAAGTTACAGGCAGACAAGACTCTTATTGTATCTAATCAAAAAATGTACCTCCTTTTCAAGCTAACATTCCAAATTGCCCCTCAGAATAGAAAAGCCCATCACCTCTTTATCATCTTTGTCACCATCCTCAGCATCTTGCTTCTCTTCTGTTTTGTCCTCGTCACCCACTTTGTTCTCTGTGGATATGGGCACTGATTCTTTACTGTGTCTCTGGACAAGAATGCCAGGCCTCGGGGGCATGTTCAAGTCCACGGGTTGCTTTAGGGGAGTCCTAGAAATCCATCAATCAGTAAACTTTTAAAAATTTGTACAGGGCCTCCCTGGTGGTGCAAGGGGTTAAGCAAAGCACTGTGAAGATATCCACAGCCCCTGCAGCAGGGTTTGATCCCCAACCAGGGAACTAATCCACATGGCAGAGCAGACCTTTCCTGCCTGGCCCGCTGCTCCCCTCAGCAGTGTATTTCAGTAGATCTGCCTGTTCTATTCCCCACTCTGTCTCTGGTGAATCCTCTCACCCCCCGCACCTCTGGCCTGTACCACAGTTCTTGTATGCATAAATAAATCTTAAAAAAAAAAATTTGTACATCCTAGCCACCATTCCCACATGCAAAAAACAGCTTTCCACTACACTGCAAGATGCAGACTTACTTTCCTTGGTCTCCTAAATTGCTCTTCTCCACATTAGCAGCTAAACAATCTCTACCATCTGTACAAGGAATGTTTTCTGAATCTTCCGGTTTCTCGATTTGGAAACTAAAAAAACAAATAAAAAAATTTCAGGGAAAAAAAATTGGTCTTGATTTTAAGACTTGGCTTGGAACATCACTTTTAAAAAGAAACTAGCATTTCTAAATCCCTGAAATGGAATAAGTAGATAGCTACAGCAGTATTCTTTGCTCAATTTTAAAATGTTTTATATTATTTCTAGATAGATTTTCTAGTGTGACTTGAAATTTGATCCCAATTTATCAGCATGAATTTATACCATTTATATAAAAAAGCCACCAATAAAAGGAAGATGCAAATGAGACAAAGTAGAAGGATGGTGAAGAAAGTGTTTGCTGTGGTTTCCAATCTCATAAGGTTAGTTAGAAGGCTCATCCACGCTCACAATCACAGACTGTCCAAATACTTTTTTCCAGCTCAGTTTGAAGGTCGTTCTCTTGTTCTTTCAGTTTTCTAGAAACAGAAGAATAAAAGGTTGTTTTCTTTGTTGTTCTTACGACGAGTATCATAAAAGAAGCTCTGCTTATTTCGGCGGAGTTGACTCACACTGGCTAATTTCTTTCCATGTGTTGGGGGCTGAGGTGGCTAGAGGGGAGACTGAGCTGGGACACTTGTGATCACTCAGGTCACCTCCCCTCACCCCAAAAAACGATCAGAATCTGGAGGAGAAAGGAATTGGAGCAGCTGGAGCTGAGCCCAGCTCCCCATTCTTTCTTCGGTGACATCACAGAATCATGGAACCACTGAATTAGAGAGACAGGAAGGTCACCCAACCCACCCATCACTTGAGGCAGAGGAATCACAGAACTCTTCTCAGAGGGCATGGGTGAGTGCTGCAACACACTGTTCTGGCCACAATTTGGGTAAGAATTTTCCTTAGTCTCCAAACACCATCTTAACCTCAGATAACATCTTGCTGCTGCTTTCACAGACCATGAAGTGCGGGCCCACTTTCTTCTTACAAAATTCCTTTCCATGACTCTCAGGTCAGTAATCAACTTACCTCCTAATGATATTCTCTCCAGGTTACAGCCCATATTCTTCAGATTCTGCTGGACTGGATCTACTCCCTAGACACACAAGGAAACAAGCTCTAAAGGGCCTGGCAACAGAAGAAGATGAAGAAGATGCTCAGAGAGAAGATGACCTGCAGTCTTGACCTAACTCCAGGCGAGAGTGAGTGATGACAACAAGGAGGAAGAGGGTAGGGCTACGGTTTTCTGAGTGTTTAGAAAAGGAGCTACAAAGGAATATGGCAGCTGCTGTCAACTATTTCTCAAAGTCAGAAGGTGAGCTCTGGGGGTCTTTGGGTTGCAGTAACAATAGCTCTCCTGGGGCCTCCCTGGTGGCACAGGGGTTGAAGATAGCACTATCAAGCTGTCGCCAGCCACTGCAGCAGGAATTCGATCCCCTTGCCAGCCAGGGAGCAACCCACATGGTGCAGCAGACCGCTCCTGTTTCGCCCGCTGCTCCCCTCAGCAGTTCACTTCAGTAGATCCGCCTGTTCTGCTCTCCACTCTTTCTGGTGAATCCTCTCGCCCCCCCACACCTCTGCCCTGTACCCCAGTTCTTGTATGCATAAATAAATAGATTTTTTAAAAAAAATAGCTCTCCTCCTGAAGTGCAGGGACTGCGACTTTTTTGTCCTTAGACAAGCCACCAAATCAGGACCTGCACATTCCATAAATGTTGAATAAATGTGTGTGTGTGGGGGGAGGGGGCATGTGTAAGCATAAGTGGAGTTATTGGAGGACTCAGGCCAAGGCTGATTTTGTAGATTATGTGAACATCTGAGGGCCTCTCTGGTGGCACAGGAAGTTGGGCACAGGACTGTGAAGCTATCCGCAGCCTCTGCAGCTCGAGTTCAATCCTGGGCCAGGGAGCACATGGTGCTGCGGCCCTCTCCTGACTCGCCCGCTGCTCCCCTTAGCAGTGTATTTCAGTCACACTGCCTGTTCTGTTCCCCACTCTGTCTCTGGTGAATCTTCTCACCACCCACACTTCTGGCCTGTACCCCAGTTCTTGTATGCATAAATAAATCTATCAAAACAAAATCATCTGGGCCTCCCCGGTGGCTCAGCGTTGAGCGCTGGGTTGCGAGGCTTGTCCTTGCTTTCCATCTACACTGCTGCCAGACTGAGACTTCTCTTTTGTCTTCTCTTATCTCATGTCCACGTAAAAGATTTCTTTGGGAGATGCGGATATTTTGTATAAATCTACTGTGGTCACACTGGTCTAAGCATGTGTAGAATCCCACCAAACTGTATACTTAAAATGAGAGTACTTTCTCCTCCTTATTTTGTAGATATTATACCTGAATAAAAAGGGGGAAAGGGCCTGCCCCCATCTGAGTGAAAGACAGCGCTGGTCCAGAGTGCCTGCTGCTGCCAGCTGGTCCTGTCTCCAAGATTAGTTGCCACATACTCTGCAAGCAGAGCCCTTCAGCAAGGATACAGTACTGAAACAGATCTGCCCGTGGCCCAGCAGCTCCACCTCTTATTGCGTACACTAGAGAAGGGAAAGCCAGACTCAACCAGATGTTTGTGCCTTATTGGACATTAAATAGGTTCTCTTTAGTCTCCCAATGACAACTGAAGTAAGAGTCTCGCCTTTTTTTTCCTTTGATCAAATTAATGCAGACTTTTCCTCTATCAAGTTAGTGGGCTGCTTGGAAATCTCATTTTAGGTTTTAGAAAGCTAAGTATAAGTTCCTGAAACTCTTCGAATTGTGATATTTAATAGGGTACTTCGGTTAAACTAGTTTTATTTTTCCTTTTACATTGATAGTCAAAACCTCTCAAAACCATTTTTATTAGAGGATGAAAGAGAAAAAAATGGCATCAGATACCAAGATAAATGGCTCTTACCACAGTACACATAATTTCCACACAGAAAAATTTGCTCTGCTGAAAAATCTTTGTTATTTATGATTCGCAGTTAACCTTTTCATGCAGAAGTCATTTAAAAACTTCAGAAAGTCATTACAGCTTGATAGGTTTCAGGCAATCTATTCATCACCCAAAGGATTTTCATGGAACAAGTAGCACCGGTTTGCCTTTGGCAGGATTGGTGATAGCAGACAGCACTCCTCTCGGTAAGAAAATGGGCACCAATCCCCAAATGTGACTTTGTAGTAGAAGCACCTGAAAATTCAATGCGAAAGATTTAGCCAACTTTGACAGTTAAGTTCTACTCATCTGGAATTGAAAAGTCCTTGAAAGAGAAAGTGTCAGGAGCAGTGTACAGTTGCTATTATATTACAACGGCCCATATTTGGGTTATAGCCACAACACTTGAGAGCCACCCCACCCGCCCCCCTTCCAGGGCACATTAAAGTTCCCTTGTCTTGTGCTCTGCTACAGGCTTTGTGAGGATGGACGAATACAGAGTTGGATTCAGCACACTGAGCCATCACTTCAGAGGCCCCAGCCCACTCTCCTGGATTGTGAAGGGCCCACCTGGGCTGCAAGCAGGAGAATGTTCTTGCCACTTGTTTGAGCATCATGTCTCTGCCTGAGGCTGCTGCTGTTAGAGGTGACGTTGTTACCACAGCTGTTTACCCAACTGGAACAAATTGGTGGGAGTAGTTTGTTCCTCCTCTTTTTTCATTTTCTTCAACTTATACACTTTTTGCCTTAATTTCCTTCTAAATATAATTTTCTCTAAATATAATTTTCTCTAATGTGACACAGTTAGTGAGCCCCACATTCCAAGGACTTTGAAAACCAGATTGGTCCCTGATCCCATACCTTTTCTGAAATGTCTGGGAAACATGAAAACTGATCTGGTTTATATGTTTCTGGGATACAACCTGACCTATTACTATGAGTCCAACCCAGGGCCTCCTTGGTGGCACAAGGGGTTAAGCATCAGCACTATGAAGCTATTGGCAGCCACTGCAGCATGAGTTCTATCCCCCACCAGAGAGCTACACACATGGCACAGCAGGCCTCTCCTGTCTCGCCCTCTGCTTCCCTCAGCAGTGTGTATCAGTAGATCCTCCTGTTCTGCTCCCTACTCTGTCGCTGGTGAATGCTCTCACCCCCCACATCTCTGGCCTGCACGCCAGCTCTTGTATGCATAAATCAATTTTTTTTTCATTTGCATATACCAAGCCCCTTTTCGTGACGTCACCAGAGCGCGCCTGACAAACCTGTGACCCTTTTTTTTTTTTTTTTAAGATTTTTTTATTTATGCATACAAGAGCTAGGGTACAGGCCAGAGGCGTGGGGGTTGAGAGAACTCACCAGAGACAGAGTGGGAAACAGAACAGGCAGAATGACCAAAGCACACTGCTGAGGGGAGCAGCTGGTGAGCCAGGAGTGGTCTGCTGAGCCATGTGGGTAGCTCCCTGGCTGGCTGGGGATCGAACTCGTGCTGCAGTGGCTGCGGACAGCCTCACAGGCTGCGTCCTAACCCCTTGCGCCACCACAGAGGACCCCAATAAATAAATATTAAAAAAAAAATAGTCCAACCCAGCGAAGGGCACTGCCTAATTCCAGCCCACCTCCAGAGCAAGCTTCCCCCAGAGCATGTACAGGCCATACCTTTTGCCCATTACAATGTTCCTCCCCATTTAACACCCCCTTAAAAACTCTAGCACCATAGCAGGCATTGGGGACCATTATCAAGAGGCAGCTGGAGGGCCTCCCCTGGTGGCGTAGGCGGTTGAGCACTGCACTGTGAAACTGTCCGCAGCCTCTGCAGCGCAGGTTCAATTCCAGCCAGCCGGTGAGACTCCCACATGGCGCAGCAGACCTCTCCTGTCTCGCCTGCTGCTCCCCTCAGCAGTGCATTTTGTCATTCTGCCTGTTCTGTTCCCCGCTCTGTCTCTGATGAATCCTGTCACCCTCCTGCACATCTGGCCTGTACCCCGGTTCTTGCATAAATAAATAAATAAATCTTAAAAAAAAAAAAAAGAGGAGGATGGAGGGACTGATTTTGGTGTTTGCCTTGGTAGTTCAAGCCTTACAGGCTCAGGGCACTGTCTCCGCCTGAGGCTGCTGCTGTTAGAGGTGACGTTGTTACCACAGCTGTTTACCCAACTGGAAGAAATTGGTGGGAGTAGTTTGTTCCTCTTCTTTTTTCATTTTCTTCAACTTACACACTTTTTGCCTTAATTTCCTTCTAAATATAATTTTCTCTATTTATACTGTTATGATTTATATATATATTATTTTCATCTATTTTTTTATTTGTCTTTCTCAACCCCTCTAATCATAACCGCTGACCTAAACATTTTCTGAAAAGAATAACAGGAATTATCTAGGGCTGGGCTTCTCTATCTATGGCAAAGAAGCAGATTTTCATTTTTTCCTCTCAATCCTCTGAGGACCAATACTTTAGTAACACAGAATTAAAGTGATCAATAAAAAGTGTGAAATCGGGGCCTCCCCAGTGGCGCAGTGGGTTGAGCACAGCGCTGTGAAGCTGTCCGCAGTCTGCAGTGCGGGTTCGATTCCCGGCTGGCCAGGGAGATTCCCACAAGGCGAGGCAGACCTCTCCTGTCGTGCCCACTGCTCCCCTCAGCAGTGTATTTCATCAGTCTGCCTGTTCTGCTCCCCACTCTGTCTCCGGTGAATTCTCTCACCCTCCTGCACCTCTGGCCTGTACCCAGTTCTTGTATAAATTAATAAATCTATTTTTTAAAAAGTGTGAAATTGTTAAGGTTTCTAGGCATTTACTCTCAATTTCTGGATTTTGTTACAAATAATTTAGGGACCAACACTAAGGAGCAGTGATTACCAATTCTCTCATTTATTTGTCTTTGACAGCATTTTCCTTTAGAAATTTTGGAAAATGCAGAAAAAAGAAAATAAAATCTCTTATAGTTCCACCACTGAAGAGATAAAAACTGGTGAAATATACTGATATTTCATACGGTATACACACATACACACTCCCCCCCACAGATCTTACTTTACATTTAAAAACTTTTAAAGCTTTTTTATTTATTTATTTATTTATTTATTTATTTATTTATTTATTTATTTATTTTTATAGAGGTATGCTTTATTTATTTGTTTTGCTGGTTTGTTTGTTTGTTTTGTTTGTACATGCACTGGGTACAGTCAGAAGCGCGGGAGGGTGAGAGAATTCACCAGAGCCAGAGTGGGGAGCAGAGCAGGCAGAAGGACTGAAGTACACTGCTGAGGGGAGCAGCGGGCGGCAGGAGAGGTCTGCGCACCATGTGACCCTCGCCGGCGGCTGGGGAGCAGCCAGGGATCGAACCGGCGCCACAGAGGCCGCGGGCAGCTTCGCAACCCAGCGCTCAACCGCTGCGCCACCGGGGAGGCCCTAAAGCTTTTTTTAATTGAAGTTACATTGCATTATAACATATTTCCAGTGTGCATCACTGAAAATCAACTCGCGTATATACAATATTCAGTTTACCACTAAAAGTCCAATTCTATTCTTTGCTTCTCACCCGCTTCTCACCATATGTTTATCTACCCTTCTTCCCCCCTTTCCTTCTGGTGTATATGTATTTTTAAAAAAGATTTATTTATTTATGCATACAAGAACGAGGGTACAGGCTAGACGTGCAGGGGGGTGAGAGGATTCATCAGAGACAGAGTGGGGAACAGAACAGGCAACTGACTGAAATACACTGCTGAGGGGAGCAGTGGGCGAGCTCCCTGACTGTCCAGGGATTGCACGTGTGCTGCAGAGGCTGTGGTTAGCTTCATAGTGCTGTGCTTAACCCCTTGCGCCACCAGGGAGGCCCTGTATATGTACTTTTATATTAAATTTTTTAAAATTTGGAACTACTGTATATATTTTGTTAAATTTAACATTTTTATTATGAAAATTTTCCAATGTCTTTCAATTTTCATGAAAATGACCCTTGGGACCCCTCTTTTGGGCTGCTCATTAGAAAGCCCCACTCTGGACAGCTTACTTGGCCCCAAGGGCCCTGTTGCAGCAGTCAGCTGCACACACTCTTCCTTGGATCAGAATAGCAGCATAGGTGCTGAGATACATGGAAGGACTAAAGAATTGTTTGTTTTTTCTCTGTTAAGCTCCAGAGAAACTTCTGGAGTTATACTTTCATAGATCTCTCAGGCAACTGTGAAGCAGAGCTGTCACATGCAACGACCTGCAGATGCATTATAGCATCCACGACTATGGAAGCCATGACACCATGGATCTATGGCCTTGACTCTCCACATACAGATTAAGTGACACACAACCCCAGAGGAAACCACACTCATTCCCTGCCCCCATCCCCATCAACTCGCTCAAGAACCTCCTTCCTTCATCTAGATTCAGGCACCATGCTTAAAATTGGAAGAGGAGGGCGCAAGGGGTTAAGCGTCAGCACTATGAAGCAGTCCACAGCCTCTGCAGCACGAGTTCGATCCCCAGCCAGGGAGCTGACCCATATGGCACAGCAGGCCTCTCCTATCTTGCCAGCTGCTCCCCTCAGCAGTGTATTTTAGTCAATCTGCTTGTTCTGTTCCCCACTCTGTCCCTAGTGAATCCTCTCACCTCCCCGCCGCCACACAACCTCTGGCCTACACCCCAGCATAAGTAAATAAATTTTCAAAAAAATTTCAATCTGGTATAACAGGGTAAAAGATAGTAATTTTCCAGCACCCATCAGTCTATGATAGTTGAGGGCCAGGCATGCTGTGTGTGAGGGTTCAATTTCTTACCCACACATAGACATCTAGAGGGTTGTGTGTGGGTGTGTAAAGATGTGCCCTGGGAAGGACTGAAGAAAGAGCATTTTCTTTGAGGGAAGGGAGTGAAGGATTGATTTCAAGAGAAGAGCGCAAGACTAGGACCCAAACATAAGGCATACTGTTTTCTTTTCCTTGGATTTTGGGAACCATCATATTTACGATTCTCCCCTCCCCACTGAAAGGTTCGGCTCGGTAAAGAAAAGGAGAGCCAGGCTAAATTTCTCAAAGGGAGGGAAAATTTATTGCACCCTGGGCGGACACATGGACCCAAGGTGGGGGTCCGTGAAGCCGCGCCCATTGTGAGGAGAGATGTCCCTTTTATAGGTTGAGGAGAGGTTAGGCAGGAAAACTGGGTTGGCAGCGGGGGAAACAGGTTTAGGTGGAACAAAGTTGTTTTTCATGGAGCCGAGTTGTTTTTCTCCTGTTTATGGCTTCAGTTTTGGGTTGTTGGTATCAGTGGTCCTGGTGTCAGGGTCATCTTGTCTTTTTCTATGTGGGCTTCCTCATTCCTGGCCCCTGCATCGACTTTTCACCCACCATGTTGTAACTCCTCCTAGTTATCCCCAAGTTTTCAGTAAACCCTTTGCACCCTTCTTTACAGAGGCACTGGAGACTTAGGTGGGAAAAGGCTATCCATGAGACTTTGGACTCCTTCCCTCCACCCCCTGTTGCTTCTGCCAAGGTGGACAGTGAGAGAGGAAGGCCCGTTCTCTACGGCTTGCACACCAGCATACGAAGAACATCTGCAGAGGTTCAATTTCATCCCCTCGGTAAGTATTCAAATAAAGAATACTCACTTTCACCCTTCTCTCTGTTTCAAGAGAAATAACAATAGTAAACCATTTCCCTCTCTCCTCACTCCTCTTAGATGTCCAGTCACCACCAGCTTCCTTCCTCTCAAGTACAAAATTCTTTAAAAACTATTTCTTTCCCTTGCAAGGTTAGTTTCTTAAATGGCATGCTGTTCATCTTAAAAGGCAAATAACCTCAACTAGAATTTGAATAAAAAAATTTGCAGCACCCACACTTCCTACCCTGATAGATTATGTGCGAGGATGACGGCCAACAATTTCTCCCATTCCTGTCTACACAAGCCACACCTCCACCCAGAGGGGGAGTCATTTCCTCTGCCTTTGAATCTGAGGTGGCTAGTGACTTGCTTTCACTAATAGAAAGTTAACAGAAGAAATGCACTGCTGATTCAGCCCTAGACCTCAAAAGACTTGCAGCCCTTGCACTAACTCTAGGGGCCCTGAGGCACCAGGTAAGAAGTCTAACCTTCCAAGCAGAGGGTAGACCTAAATGTGAAAAAGACACTAAATGTGAATAAGGTCATCTTGGAAAATTCAGTCCCAAACAAGTGATCTCAGCTGTCTTAGTCCATGGGGTGCTATAACAGAAATATCATAGAACTGATATGGGCCTCCAGGGGTTAAGTCTCAGAGTAATCACCACTACAGCCTGAGTTTGATCCCTGGCCAGGGATGTGACCCACATGGTGCAGCAGACCTCTCCTGTCTCACCCGCTGCTCCCCTCAGCAGTGTATTTCAGTAGATCTGCCTCTTCTGCTCCCCCCTCTGTCTCTGGTGAATCCTCTCATCTCCCTCGACCCTGGCCTACACCCCAGTTCTTCTATGAAAAAATAAAATCTTAAAAAAAATACTTTTAAGACTAAACCAAGAAAGATGGTGGGAGAACATGTATCTACTATTAATAGTAGTTACCTTAGGAAGGTGAAATGGGCCTTCCTGGTGGTGCAAGGGGTTAAGACACAACCTGTGAAGCTATCTGCAGCCTCTGCAGCATGAATTCGATCCCTGGCCAGGGAGCTACCCACATGGTGCAGCAGACCTCTCCTGGCCCGCCCGCTGCTCCCCTCAGCAGTGTACTTCAGTCAGTCTTCCTGTGCTGTTCCCCACTCTGTCTCCCGTCAATCCTCTCACCCCCACACCTCTGGCCTGTACCTCAGTTCTTGTATACATAAATATTTTTTTAAAAAGGTTAAATTATGGGAGATTTTTATTTTTTATGTTGCACATTTTTGAATTTGAAAAAGTTACTGCTTTATTTTTTTAAAAGGATAAATTTAAATGGTTCCAAAAGAAATATGAGGTACACACTGAGAAGCTTCTTACCCCACTTTAGTCTTTCCTTCCATCCCATAGGAAAACATGATTAGTAGTTTCTTGTGTATCTTTCCAGAATTTATGTGAAAACAAGAAAGGATCATACAATCCTATTCTAGTAATTCCATTGGCACCATTTTGCCATCAGTATAGCTCACTTTGTACCTGTGTCATATGTGGTAATTCTTGAAATACTCCAAACTTTTCAATATTATTATGTCTGCTGTGGTATCTGTGATCAGAGATCTTTGATGTTACTATTATAATGGTTTGGGGGCACCATGGCTATACCCACATAGGATTAACTTAAATGTTGTGTGTGTTCTGAGTGCTCCACCTACTGGTGGTTTCCCACCTTTCTCCCTCTCCTTGGGCTCCTTGAGAGATGAGGTCAATTAATAACCCTACAATAGTTTCAAGTGAAAGGAAGAATCATACACCTCTCACTTTACCTCAAAAGCTAAAAATAGCCCTCCATGGTGGCGCAGGTGGTTAAGTGCGGCGCTGTGAAGCTGTCTGCAGCCTCTGCAGTGCCAGTTCGATCCCCGCCAGCAGCGGAGATGCCCACACAAGGAGGCGGACCTCTCCTGTCTCGCCTTCTGCTCCCGTCAGCAGTGTATTTCATTAGTCTGCCTGTTCTGTTTCCCCGCTCCGTCTCTTGGGAATCCTCTCACCCTCCCGCACATCTGGCCTATACCCTGGTTCTTGTATAAATAAAAAAATTCTCAAAAAAAAAAAAAAGCTAGAAATAATTGTTTTGAAGAAAGCATGTCAAAACCCAGATAGGGCCTCCCTGGTGGTGCAAGGGGTTGGGACGCAGCCTATGAAGCTATCCGCAGCCACTGCAACATGAGTTCAAACCCTGGCCAGGGAGCTACCCACATGGTGCAGCAGACCTCTCCTGACTCACCCACTGCTCCCCTCAGCAGTGTATTTCAGTCAATCTGCCTGTTCTGTCCCCTACTCTGTCTCTGGTGAATCCTCTCACCCCCACACCTCCGGTCTGTACCCCAGTTCTTGTATGCATTTGCATTCTCTTATTACAACTGATACGAAAAATCTTTTTGTCTTAAACATATATAATGTTTAAGTCTATTTTTTAAAAAGATTTATTTATTTATACAAACACTGGGGTACAAGCCAGAGGCACAGGAGGGTGAGAGAATTCACCGGAGACAGAGGAGGGAGCAGAACAGGCAGAAGGACCAAACTACACTGCTGAGGGGAGTAGCGGGCGAGACAGAAGAGGTCTGCCACGCCATGTGGCTATCTCCCTGGCAGGCCGGGAATGAACCCGCGCTGCAGAGGCTGCAGACAGCTTCACAGAGCTGCGCTCAACCCGCTGTGACACCGCGGGGACCCTAAGTCTATTTTTAATGCTTTTTTGTGAGCTTTTTGTTTCCCAGTCCTTGGTCAATTTTTCTAGTAGCTGACCATAAATTAGTAGGTGTCACACAGTAATTAGTTAACATATTTGTATTTGGAGAAAACGATTAAAAAAAATAAAAAGATGTTAAAATTCCTTTTGTAAAAATGAACATACCAGCTTTCCTCCCCGGAGTCTGTAAAGCTGCCAGATTGATTCACCAGCTCCACCAGGAGGGGCACAGGGACATGCCGATGCCCACTCCAAGAGGACCACGCCGACGCCGGGCATCCATGGCGCACGCGCACTTCATTTCTACCGGGAAATTTGCCTGCGCATGCCCCACTGACTCCCAAATACCCGGGCACGGGCTTATAAACCCACGTTCCTGGGAAACTCTGCTACATGATCCTGCCTTCTCAAGGCTCATCATGTCTCAGAAAATTTCAGAAGATGTCTCCAGGCACTCTGAATAAGAAATTCCATTACAGCATGACAATTCCTGTGACACTCCAACAACAGTGTTTCATCCAGCGGCATTCAACACCTGAGTGCTCAATGGCGTCTCAAACAGTATTTAAAGTTGATACTTTTTCTTTGAGGAGGAAATTGGATAAAAATTATATTCAAGCATGTTGAGTTTAATAATGTTATGCTTTTTTAATATGCCACAGGTTTTGCAAGAGAGAAGCGCTCTCAGACAGAAAAGCCTGAAAAAGCCACCTGTTTCACACATAAGAAAAGTTGCTGACTTGTCTCAGTTTGGTTGATGCGATAATTGAAACCTCACAAAAATATATAACCTAATTGGACAAGGGGTCACATTTCTGTAATTTGTGAGACTTCTTGAAAGTGGTGGATAGAAGCCCAAGGAGTTCAAGCTAAATCTAGAGAGCTGGTTCTACATGTCGGAGAACTGATTTCTTCCATAAGGAGCAATAATGTTTTCCCTCCTGGAAAAACATCTTGGATATCCAGTATCTGGTTGTATTATAACCTGAAAAGAGAAGCTTATTGAGAAACCAGTACATTTTTAAAAATAGGTCCTAGTAAATGTTGCCATTTTTGAAATGAGATAGCATAGCTCAATGTTTCTTCAAAATGCACACTTTTTACATCATTTCATAAATGGTATGTGTGTATACACAGAAACTGGAATATTATTCAGCTGTAATAAAGAATAAAAATCTCAGCATTTGCAACAGCCTGGATAGATCTTGCGCACATTACGCTAAATGGAATAAGACAAAATTGCCTTTTGGCTAAGATCAAGTGTGGAATAAGACAAAGACAAATACCATGTGCTTTATATGTATTGTCAAACAAGGATCTTAGAGAACTGGGAAGCAAATGGCTGAGACAGTTCCAGATCTCAACATATAGGAGAGCAAAGAGTTAAACCTTCTAATTGCAAAACTCTGAGGAGATTCAGAATCCTTGCTTGATATACTGAAAGCAATAGTTTGTTAAAACTGGTCCTTTTAAGTCAGGTAGATTTCTTATCTGATTTACTCAAGGACATTAGTGTCTAATCAAATGTCACCACATTTTATTACTCAAAGGTAACAATATATAGGTAAAAACTATCTTATTCTGATACCAGGTTCTAACTACTGCTCTTTGGTGAATGGTCCATTTCACCAGAAAGAATCCAGAGGATGAACAGTTTGTTTCCTTATAACCTAAAATTCATACCAGCCTCATTAACATACTAAAATCTCCACCTGTGGGAGGAGTTGAACAATTTTTCTGAACCTGCCACACATGTGGAAGTATGAGATACCCGCAGAGATGAACGGTGCCACCCAGACTTTGTCCCACTCTTTTCCTCCCTTTTCAAAAACCCTTAAAAAAAGGAAAAAAGAAAGAAACCTTTCTCCTATTCAGGGAGAATGTCTGTGGGACCTTAACCCCTTTTTTGCTATTACCCACAGAAAGGAAACTATCCTTCCTATGACAAATTTTGTGTCTGGTCTATTTGAGGCACTTCCAAGTGATGAATCCCTTGAGTTCAGTAACATGTAGGATCTATAAAGAAACACTTGATCTTTGATCTGTTTTGGGTCAATATTTTTTTTCTTTTTGTGCAAGGTATGAGGTGAGGGTCTAACTTCATTCTTTTGTATGAGGTTATCTATTCAATTGTCTCAGGATTATTTGCGGAAAAACCTATCTTTCCCCACTGCACAGTCCTGGTACTGTTACTGAAAATTACGTGGTCATAAATATGAGCTTATTCCTGAACTCCACTCTGTTCCATTGATCTGTCTTTATGCTAGTACTACATTGTTTTGACTACTGTAGCTTTGCAGTTAACATTTGAAATCAGGGTCTCCCTGGTGGCACAAGGGGTTAAGATGCAACCTGTGAAGCTAATCACAGCCACTGCAGCATGATTTCGACCCACAGCCAGGGAGCTACCCACATGGTGCAGCAGATCTCTCCTGACTCACCCGCTGCTCCCCTCAGCAGTGTAGTTCAGTCCCTCTGCCTGTTCTGTTCCTCAGGTGAATCTTCTCACCTCCCACACCTCTGGCCTGTACCCCAGTTCATGTATGCATAAATAAATAAATCTTTAAAAAAAAGCATTTGAAATCAAGGGATGAATCTTTTTTAATTTCTTTCAAAATGCTTCTAGTTTTTATAAGAACTGGTCATGTCACTGACAAATATTAAGAGCCAAGCTAGGTATATTTTCTCAAAGAAAAATCTTGGAATGAGAGCTGCTATTAAGACTATATTCTAATAAACCCACAGATTTATGGTCAACTAATCTTTGACAAAGGAACAAAGACTATGCATTGGAGCAAAGAAAGTTTGTTCAATAAATGGTGCTGGGAAAACTGGGTCGCTACATGCAAAAGAATGAAGCTTGACCACTACCTCACACCATACACAAAAATCAACTCAAAATGGATTAAAGAACTAGACATAAGACCTGAAACCATAAAATACATAGAAGGAAATATAGGCGAAACACTACGGGATTTGCACATCAAAGACATCTTTACAGACACATCACCCAAAGCAGTGATAGTGAAGACAAAGATAAACAGCTGGGACTACATCAAATTAAAGAGCTTCTGCACAGCAAAAGAGACAATAACAAAAACAAAGAGAAACCCCACCAACTGGGAGAACATTTTTGCACCCAACACTAATGATAAAGGACTGATCACAAAAATCTGCAAAGAGCTGATGAGACTCAGCAACAACAAAGAAAATAATCCAGTCAAAAAATGGGCAGAAGAGCTAAAAAGAAACTTCTCTGAAGAGGAAATGCAAATGGCCAACAGACATATGAAAAAATGTTCAACATCACTTGTAATCAGGGAAATGCAAATCAAAACTACCATGAGATACCATCTCACACCAGTGAGAATGGCACATATTAAAAAAACTAGCAACAACAAATGTTGGCGAGGGTGTGCAGAAAAAGGAACTCTCCTGCACTGTTGGTGGGAGTGCAAACTGGTCCAACCACTATGGAGAGCTGTGTGGAGATTTCTGGACCTACTAAACATAGAGCTTCCATATGATCCAGCAATTCCACTCCTAGGTATTTACCCAAAGGACACAGAAACATCCATTCCAAAGAGCACCTGCACCCCTATGTTTATAGCAGCACTGTTTACAATAGCTAAGCTTTGGAAACAACCCAAATGCCCAAAAATAGATGACTGGATCAAGAAGATGTGGTACATATACACCATGGAATATTACTCAGCATTCAAAAAAGATAAACACATGCAATTTGCAGCAACATGGATGGCGCTGGAAGTTATCATGCTCAGTGAAATAAGCCAAAAAGAAAAAGAAAAATACCGGATGGTCTCACTCATAGCAGGAATCTAGAAAACTTAAATAAGGGACCAGGAAAATGAATATAAGAAAGTGAAAATCAAAATCAACAAAAAACTATGAACCAGAGATACTTTGTGGGGGGGGGGGGGCGGGAGGGGAAGGATTGGGGTCAGAATGGGGCATTTGCAATTGTATGGGGGAATATAAAAATAAAATTTAATATTAAAAAAAAAAAGACTATATTCTAGCCTTCACTCAGTAAACTTGTCTGAAAACAGCACAGGTTAATACAGTAGAAAATGGGGGACTCCCTGGTGGTGCAAGGGGTTAAAGCATCAGCACCATGGAGCAATCCGCAGCCACTGCAATACAAGTTCGATCCCCAGCCAGCAAGGTGGCCCACATGACACAGCAAACTTCTCCTGACTCGCCTGCTGCTCCCCTCAGCAGTGTATTTCAGTCAATGCGCCTGTTCTGTTCCCTACTGTCTCTGGTGAATCCTTTCACCCCCACACCTCTGGCCTGTACCCCAGTTCTTGTATGTATAAATAAATAAATCTTTTTTTAAAAAAAGTAGAAAATGAACTATAACCACTACCAAAGTATTAGGTGCCTTGTTTCTTTCATGCACTAAATGCAAACATACACCAGTCTCAGTAACAGGAAGAGGGATAACAAAACTTTCAACAATTAAAATAACAATGCAACAATAACAGTTAATATTATGGCAGACTTATTATTATTAGCCATAAAGTACTGTGCTAATAGTTTTAGATCTACAAATCTCCCCCACCACCCAACAATTTGCTAAGAGTGGGACTATCATCCCTATATTATTTTTCTCAAATAATCACCTTCAAATAAAACTGGGAGAGACAGCCTATTAGAGGTAGACTACTTAGTTCCTTATAACTGAGAGGTGTGAAAGGTGAGATTTATAATAGTTGCTCAGTGAATAGTTGAAGGTTGATTACAGGAAATGAAAGGTGCTTCTTTTTGCTCTTGAAAGATTAGCATGTTAGTGATTCAGGCTTTGTTTCCAAAGCTTTTAGCACATCATATAATACATGGGTGTGCCTTCTAAAGAAAAATAACAAATGATGCAATGGTGTAGAATCAACCCTATCACCAGATAACCTTTTATCTGGTGGTGATAGAATATTTTATCCTTTAAATGTTCTGTTCAATCTTTATCAGGATAGCCTCACTTGAAGGAATCTTAAAATTTACAAAGTTTACCTTGTGAAAAAGCTAATTTTCTATGAAAACGAGTGAGATAGAGCTCATCCAGACCATATCTGAGAAGATGTAATGACTCAGATCAAGGGACTTTTCAAAAACAACTTTTGTCATTAATGTTTATTTCAATTTAAGAAATGTGAATGTAAAATTAATGTAAGGTAAAATCTCAAAAGTATTTGGCAAAAGTGGGCCTCCTGGTGGCGGAAGGGGTTAAGCACAGCACTGTGAAGCAATCTGCAGCCTCTGCAGCATGAGTTTGATCCCCAGCCAGGGAGCTACCCACATGGCACAGCAGACCTCTCTTGTCTTGCCTGCTGCTCCCCTCAGCAGTGTATTTCAGTGAGTCTGCCTGTTCTGTTCCCCACTGTCTCTGGTGAATCCTCTTACTCCTGCATCTCTAGCCTGTACCCAGTTCTTGTATGCATAAGTAAATAAATTTTAAAAAAGTACTTGGTAAAAGAAATGCCATAGAGTTTGATTTAAATGTTTGTGGTAACTGTGCTATGTATTATAAACAAAAATTGACATAATAAAAAAGCACATTCTGAAGATAATTAAATTGTTTATAAAAATCAAATCAGTGGTACAGTCCACCCCCCAGAGGAGAAGTAATTTGCTTTGCTGTCATCAGTTAAAAATGAAGAAAGTGTTGTTTTTTTTTTTTTTTTTTTTTTTTTTGTGGGACCCTCGCTGGTGGCCGGGGAACGAACCGGTGCTGCAGAGGCTGCGGGCAGCCTTGCAGCCCAGCACTCAACCGCTGCGCCACCAGGGGAGGCCCGAAAGTGTATTAGTGTATTTTCTTTTTCTAACCTGTGACCATCACAACACTAAATACATGTACATACCTAAATCTTTTTAATTAGAGAATAATATAATAAACTACAACAAAACTCTGGTATTTAACAGGTAGATAATATGCTGCAAAACAATTTCTTTTAAAATAAAAAGTCTTATAATCCACTTCAAAAATATCAAACAACTTGGAAAAATGCATAAAATGGAACAAAATTCCCAAACAAGTTCAAAAACCATGGCAAAGTCATATAATATCAAATATCTAATTTCATTTATCAACTGAAACACTCACTAAAAATGATTTGTTACATTCAGTGTAGACTGAAAGTAACACTTCAGCATTTCAACAGAAACTGCCTTTCTGTTACATATTATCAAAGCCTGTCCTCTAAAAAATTTAAAGAATTTCAACTATAAGGCAAATGAAGACTAAAAATACAAACAGTGCATCTTAAAGTTTTTCAGAGACTTATGCTATATGTAATTTCTAAACGTAGCTTCTCATATGCTTCTGTGTGAAACAAATTTTTCCTGAGCACTCTTTCTGCTTGGTTAGTAATAACTGCTTTAAAGGGCTACAAAAATATGGTTGGGATTCAGAGCCCCGAGAACCGCAGAGTTGGGGTGTCACACAACTGAAATGATTTACTATGCCAAAACTTTCAACAGTTATTTTAAGAAATTCAGAATGACACTGGCTTCATAGATGAAAGTGGTAATAATTAGAAATGCCACTTTAGATGACCAACAGATAAGCATTAAAAACCAAAAGAAAAAAAAACGATTGGATTAACATTGTGCTTTCCATGGAATAATGCTGAAAAAAACGAACTCTTCTACCCAACACAGGTAATACCTCACCTTGAAACTTTATTTAATGCAGTCTTGAGGTCTGTCACTCCTTAGTATTCATGCAAACTTAATATTAGAATCACTGGAAATTTTATCACAAAAACTGTAGTCCTCAATGGTATCCCAAGATTTACAGCCCAAAAGACATACCACAGTCAGTGCATATGCATGGCAGCACTACCAGCTCTCCTCCCCTAAGGCTTTAAAAATAGCTTAGCTACTTGAGAATTTGGGTCTCTTCTCTTTCAAATAAATAAATAAAGGATAACAAATATTAGGAATCCCTTAACTATGCAATTTTATAAATACTAATTTTCTACACAGTCTAGATCACACTAAGGAAAATCAGAGTTAAGAAGTTTCATATTTACAATTAGATTTCATAAGAACTAACCATATAACCCTTAGCATTTATGTGGTTTGCATGAATGATTAATAACACATTTTAAAGTCATCAGTCTGAAGATCTTCAAGAAGTGAGCAATTTCAGACATCTAGAGGTGTGTCTTCTGTCTTTTCAGTTATATCTGAAGGTGCTTTATACAGGACGCCCTTGACCAAAACGATTTTTAGACCTAGATTTTTTAAACAGAAAAGAAAGTCAGTTGCTGCTATTTTAGATAATGTTGGCTTGACAGATCAAGGTTTAATAAAACTTCGTGTAATTCCATAATCCACTTTTTAAACCCCTGAAATGATTAGTATTTTGGTATTCAGTGTTCTTTGATTTTTGGGAGATAATATGGCATATGTGCATATATACATTAGCAGAAATGTCCCATAATTGAATATATGAATATTTCTTCAGTGAAATGAATGTTTACATCAAATGGGATAAATAAAAATTATAAATAGCATCATTGTAGCACAGTTAGGTTTTATTTACCACTTATGTATGAAAAAAATCTTCTGGCTTTCTAAGATTCTTGGATTTCAGAATTGCAGATAAGGCATTTAGATCTGGAGTACTAATGACCAAATCTCAGTTATTGTTCATCTTTATAAGAAAATTGTGAAGTAAAATAACACAGAACCCACAGATTAGATTTTATTAACAGAATAAAGTAAAACAAAGAAAAGACCTCAATGATTTATATAAATGATATATAACCTATAGACAGTATTAAAATTCTGCTAATTCACAGCACTATAGCTTATATTTTTATCAGCAGGGGACGCAACAGAGGTGATTCAAACAGAAAACTTAATAAACTATACATTTTTTAAAAAATTTTATTTAATTTAGAATATAAGGACTGGGGTATAGGCCAGAGGTGCATGGTGGGTGGGAGGGTGGGTGAGAGGATTCACCAGAGACAAAGTGCAGAGCAGGCAGTTTTAATACAGTTGCTAAGGGAAGCAGTGGGCAAGACAGGAGAGGACTGCTGTGCCATATGTGAGTTAGCTCCCTGGCTGGGGATTGAACTCAGCCATAGCAGTCACAGTGCTGAGACTTAACCCCTAGGCCACCAGGGAGGCCCTATACTTTCACTAAACTTTGTGTTCATGGGCCTCCCTGGTGGCACAGGGGTTACAGAGCTATCAAGTACTATCAAGCTATCACCAGCCACTGCAGCATGAGTTTGATCCCCTTAGCAGTGTATTAAATCTGCCTGTTCTGCTCATCACTCTATCTCTGGTGAGTCCTCTTACCCCTGCACCTCCCCGCCCTGCACATATTGCCAACACTCCAGTTCTTGTATGCATAAATAGATCTCTAAAAAAAAAAAAAAGGTGCCCCCCCCCCAAAAAAAAAAGGTCACCCCACAGCTTTCTAAGCTCATTTATGCTGATTTACCTTGTGTTTTTCTCTGAGTTGGTTTGCCGTGCACTGACTGGCACTGAGGCCTTGATTTGTGCTTCTAGCCTGGAGTAAATACCTCCTGCAAACTGCAGAGAAAGGAGCACAATTAAATTATCTTTAAGAAATCAACAAAAGCTCTGCTTTATTAAAATGGCACACATTTTAACGCAGAAGCAATTTTATTTGTGAGTTCTAAAATTTAGGCTCTTTGAGTTATAATTTACATGTGTAATTTTACATTATTCATTAATGTAAAGTTGATGCTTTTCTAGAGTACAATTCAAGTTTTGACAAATGCATGTGTTTATGTTAACACAGAACAGTTCTACCACCCAAAGAAAATTTTCTGTGCCTCATCCCCTTCTGCCTCTTTTAAATTGAAAATTTGCCATTATCAATTGCTGGCTACTAGTGATCTGTTTTACATCCCTAAGTTTTTCATTTTCCAGAACATTATATAAATAGACTTACATAGATCCTTTTGAATTTGGCTTTCACTTAGCATAATGTACAGGAGCTTCATCTACATTGCTACATGTATAAGTAACTTGTTCCTTTTTATATGTACCATAATTTTTCTCATTTGTCAGGTGAAGAATATTTGGGTTGTTTCTTGTGATCCAGAATAAAGCTACTATAAACATGTAGGAATTGATGTGTAGTGTAAAAGAATATTTAAGATACTACCAAAGTGGCCATTCCATTTTGCATCTCTACTAGTTATGAGTTATAGTTGCTCTGCATTCTTTTTTTTTATGTTTAATTTATTTTATATAAGTCTTACATCATTTTTCATTTTTTCACAATGTATGCATTTTCATTTTGGTTATAGTCCCCACACAATTGCTCCCCCCTTATTTTGACCCTAATCCCTCTTCTCCCCTGATTTCTCCCCCGTTAGTGTGTCTCTGGTTTATAGTTGCTTGTTGATTTTGATTTTTTCTTTATTATAATTAGTCTTTTTCCTAAGTCCCTTATTTAGGTTTTCTAAATTCCTGCTATAAGTGAGACCATCCAGGATTTTTCTTTTTCTTTTTGGCTTATTTCACTGAGCATGATCCCTTCCAGCTCCATCCATGTTGCTGCAAATTGCATGAATAGAGCTTCCATATGATCCAGCAATTCCACTCCTAGGTATTTACCCAAAGGACACAGAAACGTTAATTCAAAAGGGCACCTGCACCCCTATATTTATAGCAGCACTATTTACAATAGCTAAGCTTTGGAAACAGCCCAAATGCCCAAAAATAGATGACTGGATCAAGAAGATGTGGTATAGGGCCTCCCTGGTGGCTCAGCGGTTGAGCGCTGGGTTGCGAAGCTGCCCACAGCCTCTGCAGCGCCGGTTCGATCCCCAGCTGCTCCCCGGCCACCGGAGGAGGGTCCCACATGGCGCGCAGACCTCTCCTGCCGCCTGCTGCTCCCCTCAGCAGTGTATTTCGGTCCTTCTGCCTGTTCTGCTCCCCGCTCTGGCTCTGGTGAATTCTCTCACCCTCCCGCGCTTCTGACTGTACCCAGTGCATGTATACACAAACAAAAACAAAACAAACAAATAAATAGATAATACATGCCTCTTAAAAAAAAAAAAAAAAAGAAGATGTGGTATATATACACAATGGATAATTACTCAGCAATCAAAAAAGTTGCTCCACACGCATTCTTGCAGCAATTTTTCAAGATCTTCCTATTGGTGTATTGTGGTATCTCACTCAGGTTTTAATTTACATTTCCCTAAAACTAATGATGTTGCATCTTTTCATTTGCTTATTATTTGACATCTATTGATATATCCCTTCTTTCAATGAAATGTCTGGCTAATCTTCTGCCCATTTATTTTTATTGGATTGCTTATTTTATTATTGAATTTTAAGAGTTCTTTATATGTTCTGGATACAAAGTCTTTACTATTTAAGTGTTTTACACATATTTTCTCATAGTTTATGGTTTATCTTTTCATTATCTTGACAGTGTATTTCAAAAAGAATTTTAAAATTTTGATAAAGTCTAACTAGTTGTTGTTTTCTTTTACGGATCATGCTTTTGATGACATAGTTAAGAAATAGTTGCCTGACCTAACATCACAAAATTTTTTTACTATGTTTTCTTTTAGAAATTTTATAGGGAGATACATTTTTAGATAGAAGAGCTTAGGGCAAGAGTTATTACATCTACATAATATCAACACTAATGATATTATATAATGTTACAAGATGACATTTTATTTTAGAGATATATGTAAGCACTGCATGAAAAGTTGATTAAAATCAGTGATCTTCAGAAAGCCATTCTCTAGGTATGAGCATTAATCTACTCTTGGTGTGACATGAGTCTTTTGGTGATGCTGTACTTTATTCTGTATGTTACAGACAACCTATTGACCATGGGTAATATGAGATGGTGGGGAACTTTTATAGGAATGAACTGACTAACTGGTACACAATATAAAACTATTTAAATTATACATTTAAAATTCTGTTTAAAACATTTTTATATTCCTCACGATGAAAATGAAGTAGGAAGGCATATTTAAGCAACAAAAATATACTGTACATAATTCTTACTTCTTTTGCTTCCTTTGACTTGACACGGTCTAGATCACCTAATCTCATCTTTATTAGGTGTCCTGTAATTTCAGACATCCGTCGCTGGTCTGAAGGTAAAAAAAAACAACAAAACTTACTTTTTTTTTATGAGGGTGATTTATAACTTTTATTTCTCAAAGAAGACTGCAATCATCAAGAGTTTATGAAAATAGGGGCCTCCCCGGTGGCGCAGCGGTTGAGCGCTGGGTTGCGAAGCTGCCTGCGGCCTCTGAGGCGCCGGTTCGATCCCCGGCTGCTCCCCGGCCACCGAAGGAGAGTCCCACATGGCGCGCAGACCTCTCCTGCCGCCCGCTGCTCCCCTCAGCAGTGCGCTTCGGTCCTTCTGCCTGCTCTGCTCCCCACTCTGGCTCTGGTGAATTCTCTCACCCTCCCGTGCTTCTGACTGTACCCAGTGCTTGTATAAATAAATAAATAAATCTTTAAAAAATAAAAAAAAGAGTTTATGAAAATATCACTGGATATTATTTTACCTCCATATTGTTTGAGAACTTTAGGGTGCAAGTGGCCAAATGGTTCATATGTCAATAATGGTGCTATTTTGCGGACTGTAAACCAAGCCTAAAACATATTCAGTCATCTTTAAAGTGAAATAAATCAAAGTCAGCCTGAGAGACCTCAAAACCACGGGTGCATAAAACAATATATTATTTATTGGGATTGTCTAGTAATGAAACTGATATATAAGGGAATGTGCTAATTCTGGGTCTGATTCCAGCTGGACCTTTAAAGTTGGTCAGCATAATACATAAAATGAAAAAATCCTGTCATTGTTATTATATTTATTTTGTATATTATCCAAATAAAAAAGCTTACCATCTTCCCTTTGTGCATCCTGATTGAATCTCAATGATCTTGTGGCATCCCACTTATTTTTCTGCATACTCACACTATTAAAAAAATTAAATAAAATTCAGCATTGAAGCTGAATGTCTATTCTTAAGACTAGACATCAGACCAGATTAAAGAGCAATACTCACACGAAAGGAGACACATCTCTAGAAGTTGACTGAAAAAAAGTAGAAAACATTACGGCCCAATTAGAACATATTTACTCTTAGTGTCATAGTTAATAATAAAGGATTTATATTTTAGTGCAAGATACTGTACCAAGAGCAATACAAGTATTTCATTTAAGCTTTTTAATAATCATGTGAGACAGGTGCTATTTATGGTAAATTTATGGTAAAACTAGCTCAAAAATGTTAAAAAATTTGTCCAAAGAGATACAGACCTAGAATTTGAGCCCAACTTCATGTCTAATGTGGAAGTCCCAGCTCATGTAATCTTTTAGAATTAGCCCATTTGTGATACTTAATATGAAGAAGAAAGGACAACTTATCCAGTGCAATTATGTGGAACTTGTTTCAACTCTAACTTTTTACACATTTTTGAAATCTCTGGTCTTTCTTTAAGTCAACTGTGGTTTTTATTGTTCTCTTATTCTTACCTGGTTTTTTATCCCTTCCTTTGAAAGCATGGGGAAATAACAATTATTTTGAAAGGTAATAAAAATTGCATTGATTTAAACATTTAAAAACCTATCTTATTTTAAAGTCTCTTTATTTTTTGAATAATAGCTCAAAATTGAAAAGGAACAAACAGCACCCATAGTAAAAAACCTCTGTGCCCCACTCAGTTTTCTTCCTTCGGTACAACCAATATTAATTTCTTGTCTAGCTTGCCAGAGACATTTTCTGCACATACAAGGAAGTTCATATATTTCCTTTATCTAAACAAATTATTTCAGTTTACATAGCTCTGAACTTTCCTTTTCTCACCTGTAAATATATTATCCATTTTTACACTGCTAGTGTTCCATTATGATATGTTACTTTCATTTCCAGATTTCTCCTAGCTATACTTGCTTATGTATTTCTTGGTATGAACAACAGAACAGTACTGGATAATTCAGAGTTACCTTACCTTTTCCAATGCCTTCTCTTTTTTTTGACCACAGGGTGAAGACATCTGTTTTTTCGGTTGTTTAGTGAACTTCTTTGGTTTCTCCTTTTTCCCTGAAAACAGATGGTCAATATTTTGACATAAGCCCCAATACTTCTCCAATAAAAACTTAACAAATTTGTTACTTCCAAATAAAACTATTTTTAAGAAAAAGAAAACATTGCTTTTGAAAACTAACAAATTACCTCTGAGTAAAAAGTTGATTTATGGAGAAGCCAAACTGATAGTGCTCTACAGGGGTTCATTTTAATTACTTTTCATCTTTCTACATGGTGAAAACCTTTGAGGGGGAAAAATGAGGGCAATGAATTCAAAGTCCCAATGAAATTAAATGTAGAAAAAATGTTGGGGAAAACATCGTATTTATTTTCTGAATCTAATTCGACAACAGAATCAGTGCCTAATTCCAAACTTGGTATAAAGTAATAGCAGCCTAGAAATTTAAAAAGGAAATTTTAGAAATAGGAAAGCCACAGAAAATCTGAGATCCAAAATGTGAGCATAAACCTAAATTCCTAGCTGAGTAGTACACTACACAAGTATATGGGAGGCTCTACAAAATCCAGACAAAAGGGCAAGGAAAAACTAAGGTGGGATTGTCAATCTATATAAGACAGAATTGTTCTTAATGAGATATGGGCATTTCTTGTGCCTCTGACTGAAAGTTTTCCTCCAACAATTCGAGCTTCTGATATCAGATGCCTTACTGATTTGAGGTATAAGAAGTCAGACTTGAGAATGGAAAACAACTAGAAATCCAAAGGCAAACCTACTGAGTAGGTGAACCACTAAGTATTTAAGACTGCAAATATGAATATAAATTGTCTAAACCCTTGGCCAACGACCAAACTACTGAGGCTGCCTTGACTCCTGTGAGCAGGCTAATCTAACTATGGTAAGCAGCAGAAAACAAACAAACAAACAAACAAAAACCTCGTGCAGACAGAAGACAAAATAGATTTCAAAGTTGCACAATAATAATTTATGCCTAGTTTTAAACTAAAAGTTACAGGATAAAAAAATGGAAAGGAAGCAGCCAATAGAAACAGAATCTGGGGGCCTCCCTAGTGGTGGAAGGGGTTAAAGTCACCCCTATTAAGCTATTGCCAGCCACTGCACCATGAGTTCGATCCCCGGCCAGGGAGCTAACCCACATGGCTCAGCAGATCTCTCCTGTCTTGCCAGTTCCTGCCCTCAGCAGTGTATTTCAGTCGATCTGCCTGTTCTTCTCCCCACTCTGTCTCTAGTGAATACTCTCACTCCTGCCAACTCTGGCCTAACACCCCAGTTCTTGTATGCATAAATAAATAAAAATAAATCTTTAAAAAAAGATTTAAGAGGCCTCCCCTGGTGGCACAGGTGGTTGAGCACAGTGCTGTGAAGCTGTCCACAGCCTCTGCAGCGTGGGTTTGATCCCTGCCAGCTGGCAAGAATCCCACATGGCGCGGCAGACCTCGCCTGTCTCGCCCACTGCTCCCCTCAGCAGAGTATTTCAGCAGATCTGCCTGTTCTGCTCCCTGCTCTGTCTCGGATGAATCCTCTCACCCTCCCACACATCTGGACTGTACTCCGGTTCTTGTATGCATGAATAAATTAATCTTAAAAAAAAAAGATTTAAGGGCCTCCCCTGGTGGCGAAGCGGTTGAGCGCTGGGCTGTGAAGCTGCCCGCTGCCCACAGCCTCTGCAGTGCCGGTTCGATCCCCAGCCACCGGCGAGGGTCCCACATGGCGCGCAGACCTCTCCTGCCGCGTCCACTGCTCCCCTCAGCAGTGTATTTCGGTCCATCTGCCTGTTCTGTTCCCCACTCTGGCTCTGGTGAATTCTCTCACCCTTCTGTGCTTCTGACTGTACCCAGTGCTTGTATAAATAATAAATAATCTTTAAAAAAAAAAAGAAAAATAAATATTAAAAAAATTTAAGATTTAAGAAACAGGAAACTTAAATAGCACTATATTAATTAAAGAAGATGAATTTCATAATTACCTCCCCTCCCCAGAGAAACTCAAGGCCCAGGTGACTTTATCATACATCTATGGAAGAAATAATACAAATTCTATAGAAATTCCTTCAGAAGAGAGAAATGAAGAATACTTTCCAATTCATTTTATGAAATAAATCTTGCCCTGATATCAAAATTTGGATGGGACATCATTTAAAAAAAAAATCAAAACTACAAATATCTTGCTACAAATATTAGCAAGTCAAATACCATTAGAAAAAGAATATTTCGTGACCAAGTGGAAGTTACAGAAAACTTGAAAAAAATCAACATAATCAATCATACTGAGATGATGGAGAAAACTGATATTATCGCAATAGATAGAGAAAAAGCAAAATTGAATACCAATTCACTAAGTAACTCAGCAAATTAGAAATTGAAAGGAACTTCCTCAATGTCAAAAAGGGCATTTAAGAGAAATGAACAACTAATATTGCACACTTAATGGTTAAAAATTGAATGCTTTCTACCTAAGCCAGGGAACAATGTAAGGATGTATGTTCTCATCCCTTTTATCCATATCAAGCACTCAGTAGTAAAAAAGTTTAAGACAAAGAAATAAAAGAGATATATATTGGAAAGTCTAACGCATCTGGCCTGTACACCGGTTCTTGTATAAATAAATAAATCTTTTAATAAATAAATAAATAAATAAATAAATAAATAAATAAATAAATAAACCTACTTCCATAACAGCCTAAAAAATACTTAGGAATAAATTTAACAACAGATGTTTTACATGTGCATACTTTGAAACTACAAAATATTATTAAGAGACAATAGGGGCCTCCCTGGTGGCACAAGGGGTTAAGACACAACCTATGAAGCTATCCGCAGCCTCTGGAGTATGAGTTTAATCCCCGGCCTGCCAAGGAGCTACCCACTTGCGCAGCAGACCTCTCCTGATTCGCCTGCTGCTCCCCTTAGCAATATACTTTGGTCAATCTGCCTGTTCTATTCCCCACTCTGTCTCTGGTGAATCCTCTCACCCCCTACACCTCTGGCCTATACCCCAGCTCTTATATGCATAAATAAATAAATATCTAAAAAAAAAAAATCCTTAAAAAAAAAAAAAAGAGGACAATAAAGAAGACCTAAATAATGGAGAGAGATTTTGTGTACATGTACAGGAACCTACCAAAAAAAATTCTCCCCAAACTGATTTTTGTAAACTTACAACACTGTTTCTAAAATACACAGGAAATGCAATACACCTAGAAGTGCCATATAATTAAAAATGAAAGACCAATTTTGAAGGACTCACACCACCAGATTTTAACACTCACTAAAAACTATAAAAATTAAGCCAGTGTGATATTAATAGACTAATGTATAGATCTTAGACTCAGTGGAAGAGAATAAAGCATCCAGCAAGATACACATATAAATGCTCAACTGATTTTTTTAAACAAAGGTGCCTATGTAATACAACATGGGGAAGAACAGTCTATTCAACAAGTGACTCTGAACAACTGACTATGTACATGAGGGAAAAAAAGGAAGTTTAACCCATAACTAATATCACAAACAAAAATTAACCCGAAGGATCAGACTTTAAAAAAAAATGCTAAAAGTGTCAACTTCTAGAAGAAAACATAGCAGAAAATCTTTGTGACTTTGGAGCATGTAGAGATTTCTTAGCTATTAAAGTATGAAACAGAAAAGGAAAGCTACAAAAATCAGAGTTCACAAAATTAAAAACTTTTACTTTTCAAAGGAAACCTTTAAGAAAAGTAAAAGATTGAGAAAAATATTTGCAAAACATTGATTTGGATCTAAAACTTAAGAATTCATGATTAAATAATTAATAAGGCAACCAATTTATAAATAGACAAAAAATTTCAGCAGACGCATCACAAAAAAATATACAAATGGTCAGTAAGCACAAAAAAAAAGCTATTTTAACACTATATACTCACTAGAATAGCTATGAAAACAATACTACGAAGTATTAATATGATGTACAGCAACTGAAGCTCTTATACATTACTTGTAAAATGCAAAATGGTACAATCATTTTGCAAAACAATTTGACAGTTTTTTATAAAGCTAACCATAATCTTACTTATGATCTAGCAATTCCATTTGTAGGTATGTACCCAAGATACATGAAAATTTATGTCCACACATTTGTATGCAAATTCTCACAGCAACCTTATTTATAACAGATAATAGCTAAGAACTGGAAACATCCTGAATGTCCATAAAATGGTAAATGGATAAACAAATGATGCTATCCATATAATGGAATACTACTCTGCATTGAAATGGACCAAATTACTGATAGATGCAACAATATCAATCTCAAAAACATCATACTAACTGAAAAGTCCATTTACATGAAATCTTAGAAAAAGTAAACTATAGTGACAAAAAAACAGATTAGTGGATGCCTGGGGGTAGGAGTGGGGAAACGGAACTGAGTATAAAGGGGTAGGAAGGAATATTTTGCAGTGATGTTCTCGGCCTTGATTTTGGTGGTGGTTACACAACTGTATGCCAAAACTCATTGATTCATACACTTAAAAAATGAGTGAATTTGGGTCTCCCTGGTGGCACAAGGGGTTAAGACGCAACCTATGAAGCTATCTGCAGCCACTGCAGCACAAGTTCGATCCCCGGCCAGGGAGCAACCCACATGGTGTAGCAGACCTCTCCTGACACACCTGCTGCTCCCCTCAGCAGTGTATTTCTATCGATCTGCCTGTTCTGTTCCCCACTATGTGTCTGGTGAATCCTCTCACCCCCCACACCTCTGGCCTCTATCCCAGTTCTTGTATGCATAAATAAATAAATCTTTAAAAAAAATTGGAAAAAAGTGAATTTTATTAAATTATACTTCAATCAACTGTTAAAACAACAACATAGCAGCTTTTTTTCCTTGATTAATTAAAATTGAAAAATTATAAGGGACTAACTTTTTCATTAAGGGATTCAACATGTATGGAAAAATGTGAAACTTAGGAAGAAGACAGGGAAAGTTACATGTCCTTTCAATATCATATTGGAGAAATGTTTAATAGTCCAACTCACAAATTATTTCATTCTCTGAAAATGTCCTTCCTTTGTCTAACTTTTCTATGTACTACTGATTAAAGGCCCAGATGTTAAGTTTCATGTTAACTTGGAAATTTTTGTGTCAAATAGAAATGCAAATGATTAGTAGAAAAGATAATCTTAAAGGTTATGATGGGTTCACTGCCTTATAAAATATTAATCAGTTTTGTATCTTACTTGCAATTTTCTATTAACATTCTTTTTTCAAATGTTTATATATAGCCAAGTCTTCAAATGACTCTGAAATAATTTCCTGTTATTTCTTTCACTAAAGAGATGAATATTTCTTTCACTAAAGAGATGAAAATTTTTGACACATGTTCATTCTATAGTTGCATTAAATCACATTCTTAATTAAATCATACTTTAATGAATATTACTTAATGCTTCATTTGCATGTCACTTCAAATCATCTTGGGAACACAGATGTGAGTCATACATTTTGAGAAACATATTAGGTCATAACTGAAATGAAACTTGGAGGATTATTCCTCAGTACACTGCACATTATAACTTTATGAGTATACTGCCAGGGTTAGGGAATTTTTTCAATTAACTAATTTTTTTATTGAAGTAATACTTGATTATAGCATCATATAGGTTTCATGTATATAGCCTTTTTTACATCAGCATCTGCATATAACACATTGATATTTGCCACTTGACTCTAGTTTGTATTCATCACTATAGTGAATCTTGATGTCTTCCTTAATTTTTTCCCCATGTTATAAAATGCCATGCAGACTTATAAAGCCAGTTCCTTATCCTTTATACTACAGCCCTCAGGATATAACCCTTCATGTTTTATACTTAGACATTCAGATATTTTAACATATAAATCAATACTTTGTTTCTTGGATACTTCTTCTTCATCACCAACTTCATCTTCAGTAACCTCAGATCCAGTGGTATATTCTTCTTCTTCTGAAAATAACGACTGCTGCTTCTAAATAAAAAAAACATGAAACAAATTCTACTAAAAATGTAATATCACGTTATCTAAATTTATGTTGGATGAATTAGCCAAACTAGAGTTGATAAAATGATCACTGCCTACCACAACAACCAGGAAAAGGCCAATGAATATCTACATTTAGAACAGGATCATATTATAGCAAATGTTTTTCATTTATTTTCTTCATAGATCTTAGCAGAGTGATGGGCACATAATAAATACTCAGTATTTGTTGACCTGAATCTCTACCATTCAACTGGATGTATATTCCCTTGATAATAAGATTAAATTCAAATACAATAATGGCCAATATTAAAGCAGTCTCTTAAACAAGCACATGTGAATTCTCTGGGTGGATGTGACTTTGGATACTTAACCATATCTGCTTTAGTTTCCTACACCTATTCACTATATATTTGTCATCACTAAACCAAATCCCTCTTTCATTCTTGTGAATATTGGTGGCAGATTGCACAGTAAAAGGCAAACAGGTAAAGAAAAAAAAATCAACTGATCAATTAAACCAAAAAATTGGAAATAATGATTTGTTGTTTTGTTCACTATCCTATGTGACTTAAAATTTTAGAAGCTGTAAAGGATGATGACATAAATTATAATTTGTAAAATAAGATACTGTTAAGATTAAACTAAACTGTGCCTCCTCAGTGGCGCAGCAGTTGAGCGCTGGGCTGCGAAGCTGCCCGCAGCCTCTGCAGTGCCGGTTCGATCCCCGGCCATCAGGCAAGGGCCCCACATGGTGCGCAGACCTTTCCTACCGCTCCCGCTACTCCCCTCAGCAGTATATTTTGTCAGTCTGTCTGTTCTGCTCCCCGCTCAGGCTTTGGTGAATTCTCTCACCCACCCGCGCTTCTGACTGTATCCAGTGCTCGTATAAATAAATAAATAAATCTTAAAAAAAAAAAAAAAGATTAAACTAACTGTAATTTAGGAAGAAATAAATCCATATGAACATGAAATATAATTGCTCACTTACCAGCTGCAGAGTCCAGTTTTTCACTGACAAAAACTATAGAAAAAAAAGACAAAGGGAACAGAGATTAATGAATCTGCATATACCCAGACTGCATGCAGCTCCTTATTTCCATATGGATATTACAGAAGATAACTTTTTAATGTTTATACAATAGTTTATTATAAATTAAGGAAATAGATTATATATGAATATTCAAGAAATCTAGTTTGCTATTTTGCATTTATTCATAAATGTTAATGGCTGAATTATCTATAGCCAATTAGAGTATATAATGTACGTTACATAGTATATTTCACTTTCTTAAGTAAATGCCAGTTTAACTAACACAAAAGCAGGAAGTTCACAAGCAGAAATTCTCTGGTTGTTAGTAACAGGAATCAAAACTTTCCAGTCACCTTAAAACTATTTCAGTTCTGAAACCTTTAAAAAAACTAAATGTTCCTGATTACAACTGAAAAAAGAATTCTATACCAAAACAAAGTTTAGAGAAGTAGGAGTAGGCAAAATATCTCATTCTTACCATCTTCATTACTCAAATAATTTTTTGTCCCAATAAAATAATTATTTTTCCATAATAAGATCATGATTTTTTTCATCAAATTTATTAGTTATTAATTCTTTAAGGGCAAGAAATGTGTTCTACTAATTATCCCAATGATTCTATTTACTCAGTCATTAATACCTTATTATGGTTAGGTATAGTTACTAAATGCTAATTAACTGAAAATTTTAATTTCACTCAAAACCATTGTCTGTTCAAGATTACATATCATCAACTGTTTATATAAATAAAGAATAAGTGACACAAGCTACTCACAGCATTAAGCTCCCCACTTTTGGGGCCCCATGGTGTATTGGGCTCCAGCAAAACATCACAGTCCAGCCCTTTTTCATCAGAAGGACCAAGCCCAGAATCGCTTGAAAGAAAAAAGACATTTTTTTTATTGTGAAGTGTTCAATATTTTAAGAATTTAAATGCAAATTATTACCATTTATTACAAATTGCTCTTAAGATACATTAAAAATAATATCATTCTAAAGTATAAGGTAGGTACTGCAACATTACATTTCTTATCTAGTGATTCCCCTAACAAAAGTCACCATATGCAAGAAAGCACCACTGCACTATAAGAAGCATCCTGTCAGGTGGTGAGATGAGCTGCTGTGACAGGTACCGCTTTGACAAAAGCCTTTATCAAAGGGTCCTCCCACCCTCACAGTGACAGTCTGCTACAACTGCACAATGATGGCAGTGACTTCAGAAATTACTGAAGTCAAGGGGTTCAAATTTATGCAGAGCTGACCTCAACCATCACCTTTCCCCATATTGTATCAATTATGCATTTAAGAAAGGTTTAAGTAACATGGGAAAAGAAAAAAGTCCTCCAAAAATTAAATTGCAGGTTCCAACCTTTACAATCAAATTAGCTTTCTTCCTCCTGGACCTCTAATATTTCAAGGTATGTTTTCTATCAAATAAACACACCTGCTTGCTCTTATTCAAAGCTACCATGTATGTTCAGTTAAGCCTTCTGAAATAATAAAAACTATTAGTGATTTGGAGAGGCAGTAGGGGACACAGGATTCTGAGATGGAACCCACTAAATAAAACAACAGTACAGTGTCATCACAGCCTCCTCACCTAATTGCATCTTTAGAAAAAGGCACAATAATGACATCTTTGTGCTTGTGTAGATCATCCAGTATTCTAGCAGTCGGGCAGGATAGCAAATCTCCACCTTCACCTTGATCATGAAGAGCAACCATGTGGTCCCTCACTTTACAGCCCTGTCATGTAAAAGACACTAAATTAAAGAGGCTGGGGCATTACAGAAACATTCATTTAAGGATGACTATAAGTTTTTGTTTTTCTTTGCCCAGTCATACTATATCAACCATTTCACAAGGAAAAAAAAAAAAAAAAAAAACCTCAAACATAAATGTATGCCTTAACGAATATAAAAAAAAAATCCATGTAACAAACTTCCACATTAAGAAATAGAGTACTGCCAACATTCCAGGAGTTCCTGTGGACGGGCCCATTACTTATTACAACACTGCCCTTCTCCCAAAAGATAACCTCTATCCCAACTTTTTACCATTTACCAATGTACCCCTAAACAATATCGTTTAGTTCTGTCTCACTTGTTTTGTCCAACATTGTTTATATGATTGTAGTAACAATATTTGCTTTAATAGATAGTATTTCACTATATGAATATACACAATATAATACATGCAGGTATGGGTTTCTTATTATCTTATGGGGAGTCACCAGATTTCTTAAATCTATAAATATTTTTCAATAATTCTGAAAATTCTCAGCCAGTATCTCTTCAATTTATGCCTCTGATCCACTCCATCTTCTACTGGGAATTCCATTAAAAAGTGAGACACCCGGGGTCTCCCTGGTGGTGCAAGGGGTAAAGACACAACCTATGAAGCTCATCACAGCCATAACAGCACAAGTTCGATCACCGGCTAGGGAGGTGACCCACATGGTGCAGCAAACCTCTTCTGCCTCGCCCCCTGCTCCCCACAGTAGTGTATTTCAGTCGATCTGTCTGTTCTGTTCCCTGCTCTGTCTCTGGTGAATCCTCTCACTCCCCAAAAACTATGGCCTGTATCACAGTTCTTGTATGTATAAATAAATAAATCTTTTTTAAAAAAAAGTTAGATACCTCACACAAAAAGACAAAAACTATGATTTATCTATATAAAGTACTTAGAGTAATCAAATTCAGAGACAGGAAGTATAGTGGTATTTGTCATAAGCTGAGAGGAAGGGAAACAGGAATGGGGAATTATTATTTAATGAGTATACAGTTTCAGTTTTGCTAGAAGAAAAAGTTCTGGAAATTGAGAGGAGTCTGAAGAAGGAAGGAAGCAGGATGAGGAGCAAGGAGACCTGTAGGAGGCACATGGAGCGGAGAGACATGTGAAGAAACTGAACTTGCTTCTTGGTCCTGGACTGGTTGAAACAGATAACGAAAAAGACTTCAGCCAGAAAATGGACAAAATGCTTAAATTCAGCTATGGATGTCAGATTACTGGGAGTTTAAAAACAACAGCAACAAAGATGCTGTTTTTTTGCTGAGGGTGGTACTTAAGTGTTGGCAGCCCATCACCCTAAGGAAAGCCAGAGTCTTCTGAGAATGCCTGTTTACTCTGCACACGGAGTTCCAGGATCTTAGACGTTCTGGAAACAGAACTTTTTCCCAGAATTGACTACTGTTCTCTGAGGACATGCTGGCTTGTGCGCATGTTCCTTACTAACCAGAAAAGCTTGTTTTTAGTAGTGACTTATTAATTTGTATTAGCAAAAACACAATTGCATGCTATTTTCTTGTGCCTTTGTTCATATCTTCAATAAAAGCTGGGGCTGGGAGAGTGAAAGGCAGAGCTGCTCTCGATGGCACTCTCTCTAGCCTCCCCCATTGCAAATTCAAAAAAAATAAATAAATAAAAGTTCTGGAAATTGGTTGCACAACAATATGGATATACTGAACACTACCAAATTGTGCACTTAAAGTATGGTTAGATGGCTATTCATTATTATGCATATTTCACCACATTAAAAAAGTTAGATATGTATTCTCGTTCTTTAATTTTTCTCATTATTCTGTCTTTACGCTTCATTCTGGATAGTTTCGTCTGATATATCTTTCAATTCACTAATTCTTCAACTGTATCTAATGTGCTGTTAAATTTGCCACTAAGCTTAAATTTCTACTCCCAAGGTTCTTTTCGGTGCTAGCATTTCTATTTTAATTTAAACCATCTTTGTCCTTTTTTTTTTATAGTTTATAATTCCCTTCTATAAATTTCCAAGCTTGGCTTCCAATTACTTATGCAAGAAATCTTATTTATTTTATAGTCTGTGTCAGTAATTCCAATATTCATAGTTTCCATGGTTTGCTTTTGTTGAATAAATTCTGCAGTTCCCATTCTTGGTAACTTAGCTTTATCTTTATTTGCATATCAAATACTTCATTTAAGAAACAATTTGTAGAAATAAGCTGATGCGTAGAATAATATTATCTTTTTCCAAAGAGTATTTTAACTGCTTTTTCCAGATGTCTGGGGAGAGGGGCAATCCAAGATTACCTTAATCCAAAAATTCAAAGTTTGAAATTTTCTAGGGTAACTCCTTTTACTCACTGTGTTCCTTTTAGGCATACTGCTCTGACTTCTTTGAATACTCTTTCCCTTTCTCTTTGCCTCCCATACTCCTACCTACCTTCAGATTGCAACCAAATGCCAATTCTTTATGAAAGCTTTCCTAGACCAGGCTAGTCTGACATGTGTGACCTTACTTACTTCTCCAAACATTTCTTTGCACACTTTTTTTTCTCTTTTAATTATTATTGCCTAGACAATAAGGTTCATAATGGCAGAAACAATCTAATTTTACACACTGCTTTGCCTTGCACAGTTTGACACAATTTTGGTGCTTTATATTTATTGCATGGATGATGAAGAGAAAGATTTTTGGTTACTTTCATCTGCTTGTAAAACTTATACAACATTTGGGCCTCCCCTGGTGGTGCAGGCGGTTGAGTGCCACACTGTGAAGCTGTCTGCAGCCTCTGCAGCACCGGTTCGATCCCAATAGGCTGGTGAGGGTACCACATGGTGAGGCAGACCTTTCCTGTCACGCCCGCTGCTCCCCTCAGCAGTGTATTTCATCAGTCTGCCTGTTCTGTTCCCTGCTCTGTCTCTGGTGAATCCTCTCACCCTCCCACGCATCTGGCCTGTACCTTGGTTCTTGTATAAATAAATAAATCTTTTAAAAAAAATGGTGTAAATTAAAAAAAAAATTATACAGCATTTTAAAAAGTTTTAGTGATCTAGGATTCTAGCCTATATCAGAATTCACATATTGCACCAATATACATGTGTGAGGATATTCATTGCAACATCTGGAAACAACTAAAATGTTCACCAGTAGGAGAATGGTTTAATAAATTGTGATATAAGCATGTCTTGTAATACTATACAGGATTTAAATGAAATGACAGATAGATAACCCAAGTATACTGGTGAGTAAAAAAGGTGAATTGCAGAATAGCATGATCTTATTTCCAATTAAAAAAACCTACAAAAAATTTGTTAATGAAACATATAAACCAAGATTTGAAGGGAAACTGCTATCTATGGTTACCTCTAAGAACAGATGTTGAATAAGGAGAGATGTAAAGAAGAACTTCTACTTTGTATTATACTTACGTGTTGGTTAGTCTTTTCTAGATAAATGCATTACCTTTATACTTTAACAACAATAAAAGGGGGGAAGATATAAATAAAAAGTGTTACTCTATAACTACAAAAGGACAACATTCAAAATTCACCTTTGTAAGCTGAGTGGGATCAAACCGAAGAACCTTTTGGTTACAGCAGGGATAAATTCCAGTGCCAATGATAGTAAGCGAATTTGCTGTGGTAGGGTAAACCACTGTTTCCGAGTGATACTGACAATGTGAAAATTCTATACACAGAAAAGTCTGAATAGAAGGAAAAATAAAATCAAGTAATCTCACAATGAAATTATGTATCTCAAAAATACTTTACTCAAGTCTGTATGTTCCACTTACATAAAATGTACAGAAAAAGCAAATCTCTAGAGATACAACTGAGGCTAGTGATTTGGTTCCTGGGACTGGAAGTGGGACTGGGGAATGGCAGGAATTGAACACAAGTGATCTTTTGGGGGAGACAGAAATATACTAAAATTAGGTGATGGTGATGGTTTGCATAACTCTGTAAACTTACTAAAAATGTATACCAAAAAGTATGAATTGTATGGCATGTCATTACAGCACAAAAAAGCTATTAAAAAGCAAAACAAAAACACTTTGTCCAAAATTCAGATCAATTAAATTGATATTAAATGGATTAATTAATCAAATCAGATACATCAAACTAATTACATAAATCAATTAATTAAACTGATACTACATTTTATTTTATAATTGGTCAATCATAAAAAAATGAAATAAAAGTTTGCCTCATTTGGTTATTTTCTGATATTTTTTAAAGTAAATATTCAGTTTTAGTATTAATGAAAACTAGGGAGTAAAAATCACTGATAAAAAAACTTATCTAGGTTTAATTATAAAATTAGTAGGGCTCAGAAATGTTTATAAATTAGTAAAATAATTTAAAGATCATAAAATTAACAATTCTAAGCACTGATCATAAACACAAAAGGACAGATAGTCTATAATTCAGTATTCTTAGTTCGCTGCTCCCCTCAGTAGTGTATTTTGTCAGTCTGCCTGTTCTGTTTCCAGCTCTGTCTCTGGTGAATCCTCTCACCCTCCTGCGCATCTGGCCTGTACCTTGGTTCTTGCATAAATAAATAAAATAAATCTTTTTAAAAAAAAGAAAGAAAGAAAGAAAGAAAGAAAGAAAACCAGTAAGGGTTTCACTTGCTTTCTTCATAAAAGACCCAAACTAGAAATCTACAAAGTCCTTCACTGGTGAGGTAATAATCACACTGAGATACTTCATACAATGGAGGACTATCATGTAGCAATAAAAAGTAGAAAACTGATATATACACAACAAGATGGATAAATTTCAAGTACATTTTATAAAGTAAAATAAACTCCACTCAAAAAGCTTAACACTATATGATTCTGTTTACCTGACATTTTGGACCAAGGCTGGGGTAAGAGGGGCAGAAGCAAATTTTTTCAGGGTAATGGAAGTATTCTATGCTTTGACTATGGTGATAATTATATATGTATTTGTAAAATCTCATACAAGTATAAATCTAACTGTATATAAATTACACTTCAATAAATCCAATTTTTAAAAATTATGAGGCTGTATAGAGACACCACTGGGTGGAAATTATACAATTTGAAACATCTCATTATATATTTTTTCTCTACTAAAAATCATTATCTGGGCCTCCCTGGTGGCACAAGGGTTAAGACACAACCTATGAAGCTCTCTGCAGCCACTGCAGCACAAGTTTGATTCCCGGCCAGCCAGGGAGCAACACATATGGCGCAGCAGACCTCTCCTGACTCGCCCACTGCTCCCCTTAGCAGTGTACTTTGGTCAATCTGCCTGTTCTGTTCCCCACTCTGTCTCTGGTGAATCCTCTCACCCCCTGCACCTCTGGCCTGTACCCCATTTCTTGTATGCATAAATAAATAAATCTTTTAAAAAATAAATAAAAAATAAAAATCATTATCCAAGCCAGAGAGGAAAATTATCAGGGGAAGGAAGACATTAGAGAGTCATAGGAAATTTTCTACAGAACACTGTGGATTTATACATGAGACTAATGAGGAATGATTGTGACCCAAAAAGGATATAGGGTATATTATAGGTTCCTTCAAATAGCAAACTTTCTTGTGCTTTTATTATAGACTTCATTCATTAAAAAATGAACAAAACCTTTTTGGGACCCCTATCTGCAAGGGTACCTTTTGAAGTTCTAAAGAAATTTATGGGCTAACAAAGAAACAGTATGGTTGGAAATAATAAAAGACAATAAGGACTCTGTATTGTGTTCCATTGAAAAACTGGATTTGGTCACTAAAAACTTGGTTTTCTGGGCCTTCCTGGTGGCTCAAGGGATTAAGATATAACCTATGAACCTATCCGCAGCCACTGCAGCATGAGTTCGATAGCCGCCAGCCAGGGAGCATCCCACATGGCACGGCAGACCTCTCCTGACTCGCCCGCTGCTCCCCTCAGCAGTGTATTTCAGTAGCTTTGCCTGTTCTGTTCCCCACTCTGTCTCTGGTGAATCCTCTCACCCCCAACACCTCTGGCCTGTACCTAAGTTCTTGTATGCATAAATAAATCTTAAAAAAAGGTCATATATTGCCTATACCTTGTGCCTATGCCACACAAACATACTAATTAAATTGCATATATCAAAAGAGCCTGCTCTCAATAGTTTGTGAAGCAGGATATTAAAACAAAAAACAACTCACCTGATAACATCTTGAACAAGTTAGCCAGTTGACAGTTCCCCACAAACGCCAATATACATCTCTCCAAGACTTTAATTCTTCAAAAAGACTATTCAAATATTCATGAACATCCCAAGTCTTATCTCTGGGGAAAAGAGCAATCAATATAAACAAATTTTTTTAGGCAAATGCTTTTAAATTAGTAGCTGATTTCCAAGAATATTGGCCAAATGATGCTGTGGAATGGACTATATTGAATGATAGATAAAATTTCATTTGGTGGTGCAAGGGGTTAAGCACCGCACTATGAAGCAGCACGAGTTCAATCCCCGACCGGCCAGAGAGATACCCACATGGCGCAGCAGACCTCTCCTGTCTCACCCGCTGCTCCCCCTCAGCATCATATTTCTGTCAGTCTGCCTGTTCTGTTCCCTGCTCTGTCTCTGGTGGATTCTCTCACCCTCCTACCCCCGCATCTCTGTCCTGTACCCCAGCTCTTGTATGCATAAATAAATATTTTTTTAAAAAATTTCATTTGGGAGCTTTTTATTCTTTCTTTTTTCTGTGAAAAACAGAAAAAAGCATGAAAGAATTAATGGTATTGAATGCCAAATTATTTTAGCTAAGCTAGGTAAGGAATTATAAGATATATATAATTGGATCAGGTAACAGCTGGGATTTAGGAACATGTTGCTAAATGGAAGCTATATTCTAATTATACATATTGTAAAATAAGTAATTACTGATAATTCTAACATTTCATTAATGTTGCCAAGAGGTATAGCTCATAGGTAGAGCATTTGACTGTATTTCATTACTGTATTAGTTCTTCATATTATTTTTAAAAGGCATTTTCTAGTAATTGAGTAATATAGGAATATGAAAATCAGGTCTTGGTAACACACTTTTAAAATTAAATAATAAGCTTATTAAGTTAAAAAGGCTATTTGTAACTCTATTTGCTGTTCTCCTATGTAACTCATGTTCTTATTTCTCCCAAGTCTCTTAATCCTTTTGGACTTTTTCTATTTTTTGTCCTCACTTCAACAAATAACAAAATACAATTATTACAAATTACACAGGCACAACAGTTTTAAAGATATTTAAAGACAGTTTTTAAAATGTATGCATCGGGGCCTCCATGGTGGAGCAGGGGTTAAAGTCTCAGTGCTATCAAGCTATTGCCAGCCACTGCAGCATGAGTTCGATCCCTGGTCAGAGAACTAACCCACATGGTACAGCAAACCTCTCCCTCTCCTGTCTTGCCTGCTGCCCCTCTTCGCAATGTATTTTAGCAGATCTGCCTGTTCCGCTCCCCACTCTGTCTCTGGTGAATCCTCTTACCCCCTCGCCCCTGCACCTCTGGCCTACACCCCAGTTCTTGTATGCATAAATAAAAATAAAACTTAAAAAAAATAATCCATAATATCATCAAAGACAACATTACAAATAACTATGGGCCTCCCCGGTGGCGCAGCGGTTGAGCACTGGGTTGTGAAGCTGCCCGCAGTCTCTGCAGCGCCGGTTCAATCCCAGGCTGTTCCCCAGCCACCGGAGGAGGGTCCCATATAGTGCGCAGACCTCTCCTGCCGCCCACTACTCCCCTCAGCAGTGTACTTTGGTCCTTCTGCCTGCTCTGCTCCCTGCTCTGGCTCTGGTGAATTCTCTCACCCTCCCACACTTCTGACTGTACCCAGTGCTTGTATAAATAAATATATAAATCTTTAAAAAAAAAAAAAAAAGGACAAATAACTATTAGTGAACAAATTTCTAGTTTTGTTTATTTATCTTTATTTACTTCATTTACCACTAATAATTTTCTATGTAAGCATATATCCTTTTAAAACAGTATTCTCAAAGGCTGCACATCAAGAATGATTAGATGTGCTTTACATAGATATAATATTGTATGGGTATATTTTAGTTCAGTTAATCATTTGGGTGTTTAATCTTTTTCTTTTATTTAAACACTATAACAATAAATGTCCTTCTTAAGTGCTTTCACAAACCCAGCATAACCTCTCTGGATAAATCCCCACCAGTAAAATATTGTCAGACAATTTGCACATTTTTAAAGTTTTTGCTTCTCTGAGATAGTATCTCAATTTAAAACACTCTCCATCTCCAACTCAGAATGAGAATTAGTTTTGAACTTAAAGTTGAGTAAAACAGGACTAAGAATACTTAGTCCTGGGGGACTGGCAAAGCATGGTGAATAAATAGACATGGAAAAGACAGTTTTCTTCATTTATCAAATTAATCTGAAAATAAATTTGGTTCTCTCATCAAATTCAATACAACATCTATATGTGTGTGTGTGTGTGTGTGTGTGTGTGTGTATATATATATAACTATAACTAAAATCCATTAGTGAAGAGATATCATTTTAATGGCACTGATTAGAATAGCTTTGTAGATTGATGTATTTTTGGGCCTCCCTCGTGGCTCAAGGGGTTAAGCACAGCACTGTGAGGCAATCTGCAGCCTCTGCAGCACTAGTCTGATCCTCAGCCAGGGAGCTGACCTGCATGGCACAACAGACCTCTCCTGTCTCGCCCACTGCTCCACTCAGCAGTGTATTTCAGTCAGTCTGCCTGTTCTGTTACCCACTCTGTCTCTGGTAAATCCTCTCACCATCTGCACCTCTTGTCTGTACCCCAGTTCTTGTATGCATAAATAAATCATTAAAAAAAATTTGTACTACCTTGAAGCTTAAAAAGACATAAAATTTACCCATTGAGTAAAATACAACTTTGATTGGGAAGAAGCATTTTTCTAAATCAAAGTTGGATCTCATGTAGAAAAGATGCTATCCTAGTAGATTAGAGGAATTTTTTTTTTTAAGATTTATTTATTTATACAAGAACTGGAGTACAGGCCAGATGTGCGGGAGGGTAAGAGAACTCACGGGAGACAGAACGGGGAACAGAACAGGCAGACGGACCAAAGACACTGCTAAGGAGAGCAACAGGCAAGGCAGGAGAGGTCTGCCTTGCCTTGTGGGTATCTCCCTGGCCAGCCGGGAATTGAACCTGTGCCGCAGAGACTGTGGACAGCTTCACAGTGTGGTGCTCAACCTGCTGCACCACTGGGGAGGATGTAGAGTATTATTTTTTATAAATATATTATAATTCACATTTAAAAAGCTATTTTCTTTTCACTCACCTTATGTGAATGTAGATAATATTTCCATGTTGATCCACATTGATTTTTCCAGGAATACAAGGAATTCTCCTTTCTGTTTCTTTTGTTAAAAGTTTCTTACACAAACAACATCTATGATACAAAGAAGATAAAAAAACACCCAAGAAGAAAATTTTAAATGTGGCAAAATTAAATATTTAGGTGTATTATGTAGTATACCAAAGAAAAACACATCACCATACCTGTATAATGTTGCTGCATTATTCCGAGAATCTGGATTCAAGTACTCAGGATCAAAGAGTCTTTCAATCTTCTTACAAAAAAGTTTGCTATCAAGAACAGATGATTAATGAATTAATTTTCTATATTCACTTATCTAAGTTATATGATAGTGATGAAATAAACACTGACCGATGTTTTCTGCACATGTAGAAAGGAAGAAAGCCTCACTTTGGGGATTTATAACACATTTTCAGTGCAATACATCTACTAATGAAAACTGCTTGATTAAGAACCAATTTTCACAAAAAATAAGACTTATGGGTATCTAAACTCTTTTAATCCTTTTTTATTGGCATATTCAACATCAAAGATTTTGGAAATTGAACAATCCTAAATCTACTCATAAGCTGGCATGTGATCTCTGGCAACTTACTTAAACTTTCTCAAAATAACAGTTGGGATTTAGGCATATGTTGCTAAATGGAAGTTATAATCTAATTGTATATATATTGTAAAATAAGTTATTACTGATAATTCTAACATTTCATTAATGTTGCCAGGAGGTATAGCTCAGGAGTAGAGCATCTGACTGTATTTCATTAACATACTAGTTCACGTGAAAAAAAGCTGTATTTGGGCCACTCCGGTGGCACAGTGGGTTAAGCGCCATGCTGTGAAGCTGTCCGCAGCCTCGACAGTGTGGGTTCTGGTCCTGGCCAGCCCGCGAGAATCCCACATGGTGCCGCAGACCTCTCCTGTCGTGCCCACTGCTCCCCATTGCTCCTCTGTCGTCTGCCTGTTCTGTTCCCCACTCTGTCTCTGGTGAATTCTCTCACCCTCCCGCACCTCTGGCCTGTACCCCAGCTCTTGTATAAAAATAAATAAATCTTTAAAAAAAGAAAAGCTGTATTTTATTTTCCCTCACCTTATGTGAATGTAGATAATATTTCCTAGTTTCTCATCAATAAAATGTGGTTAATGATGCCATACTCACAATGTTTTATGTGGGTTAATGAGACAGTGTTTTTAAAACGTGCCATCATGTTAGACATTCAATAAATGTAACTACTAACTATATATTATGCATAACTACTTTATGTACAATATGACTGAACTTTAAAAATCTTCTGATGTAGGTCATTAATTCTAATCATAGGTCTGAACTCACCATTTCCTTTGTATGTCTGCTGCTGTTAAAGGGCACACTTGCAGTTAGGATCCCCAAAACTACTTTCAAGTATTTAGTTTGAGACTAATTCCCCTCTGTCTCATAGCTCTTAAGGACCAAGCTCTTAGATAATCTTCTGAATTATCAATTTCTCCCTCTCTAAAGAATCATCCTGAACAGTATATAAACATAATCCAGTATCTCACTTCTATAAAGGAATCCTCTCTTGAGCCTACCTAACAGTGACTGCTAATTTTTTTCAGCAATCATTAAGAGCAAAACATCTGGAAAAAGCTGCCTAAAACTAATTGGTCACATTTCTGTTCTCATCTTACTCTACACACCATGTTGATAGAATGAAAGGCTCAATATTATTAAGATGTTAAATATTCCCAAATTGACTATAGGGTTCAACATTAACCCCAAAATCCAGCAGAGGGTGTGTATGTGGTATGTGTGTGTGTAAAAGGGCAGGCTGATTATAAAATTTATATGGAAAAGCAAAGGCCCTAAAATGATCCAGCTGCAATCTCAAAGAAAGGCAAAGTTGGAGAATTTACATTACTAGACACCAAAAAAATATTAAAAAGCTTCAGTAACTGAGTGTGCTACTAATACAAGGATAAACAAAGAAATAGAACAAAAGGGAGAATTCAGAAATAAACCTTGCTTATATAGTCACCTGATTTATAGTAAATGTGACACTGCCATTCAGAGGGAAAAGGATGATTTTGTTAGAAAAGTTAATACTTACGTGGCTTCAAACCTCATTTATTTTTAAATTTCTGTTTTAAGTCTTGACCTCTGACCTAAATGTAAGCATATATCCATACACACATCCACATATCCAGCTATGTATCTGCCATCCTATGGACCTGCCATTCTAAGAAGTGTATTAACTATATCAAATAATCTTAACAAGACCCAAGTCTAATATCCTTCCCACAGCAATTAGAATGACCTTTTAAAAACAAATCAGGTTATATCGCTCATTTACTTCTATTCACACTAATAAAGTATATCCTCCTCGCTATGACCTAAATATTTTATAAATGATATGACCACAGCTGACCTCATACCATAAGGCTTATCTTAATAATTTTTCCACTAAGCCCTGTCTTAATAATTTTTAACACAATTCATTACCAAAATATGCTCCTGTGGGCATTATAAAATATAATTTAATTACTTTTTTTAATCTTGATTTGTTCATTGGCTCTATATAAATTTTAGTGCAGTTAAAATAAAATGCAGGGACCTCCCTGGTGGCCTAGGGGTTAAGTCTTAGCACTATCACCAGGATGACCCAGGAAGTTAGTCCACATATGGTACAGCAGACCTCTCCTGTTTTATCCACAGCTTCCCTTAGGAGTATATTTCAATAAATCCAACTGCTCTGCTCCCCACTCTGTCTCTGGTGAATCCTCTCACTTCCCACAATTCTGGCCTACACCCCAGCTCTTCTATGCAAAAATAAATAAAAACCTGAAATAAATAAAATGGAAATATGGTTCTAAATGTAATCTGAATATAAAATATTTCACTAAAATGAAATTGAAATATATTTCTTCTAAAAAGAACATTACATTTAAAATTAAATTAAACTACCTCCTAAACTTATCTTTCTTGTCCTTTAAATCATCAACTTCATTATGTGTAAACAGATCGGCTATACGTGTAAGAAGATTTGCATTAATACAGTTCATGTTGCATGGCGTAGCTACTATGGCATTCATATTTCTGTGGCAATACTGAATGCATTGTTCAACCTAAAAAAAGAAAACACACACACACACAGAATAGAAAATAAACATTGCTAAGTGTAGCATGAAAGATAATGTCACATCAGTACTTTTCAAAGATAAAATTCATTAAAAGCCTGATCCATGCACTAACTGGTTTTGCCAGTTAGTTAATCTATACTGAGTTAATCTATTTGAGTTAATCTACACTGTTTCAAAGAGGTTTAGCAGGCAAAATTTGTACAAACACATATGCAAAAGAGAAAGAAACAAGGACTTAATAAAACCCCAGTCAGGGCCTTCCTGGTGGCGCAATGGGTTAAAACGCAACCTATGAAGCTATGCACAGCCAGTGCAGCACCGAATTTGATTCCTGGCCAGTCAGGGAGCAACCCACATGGTGCAGCAGACCTCTCCTGAATTGCCCACTGCTCCCCTCAGCAGTGTATTTCAGTAATTCTGCCTGTTCTGTGCCCCACTCTGTTTCTGGTGAATCCTCTCACCACCTGCACTTCTAGCCTGTACCCCAGTTCTTGGATGCATAAATAAATAAATCTTAAAATAAAATAAAACCCCAGTCAAATAAACAGTTTGATCAGGGGTTAAACGCAAATATTCAAGACAATTCATAAAACATTTGAATGATAAATTCATTAAAGAAAAAGAAAACAAGTACATTTAATGTTAAGAGTTTGATATGTATATGTCAGTTCGATATGTATATGATATAAAATGTATATTGTGTTTTCATGTTTTTTTTAAAAGATTTATTTATTTATGCATACAAGAACTGGGGTACAGGCCAGAGGTGTGGAGGTGAGGAGGTGAGAGGATTCACCAGAAACAGAGTGGGGAGCAGAACAGGCAGACTGACTGAAATACACCACTGAGGGGAGCAGCAGGCAAGACAGGAGAGGTTTGCTGTGCCATGTGGGTAGCTCCCTGCCCGGGGATCGAACTCGTGCTGCAGAGGCTGTGGATAGCTTCACAGAGCTGTGCTTAACCCCTTGTGCCACCAGGGGAGCCCTGTTTTGTCAACTACTCTTAAAAGACACGAGCATTTGATTTATACATAATTAAACATACACAAAATTGTATTGTTTAGTAGTTGGATACTCATTCTTAATTCACTGAATAATAAATGAAAGACATAAATAAGCAAACCATGCTTAGAGGAAATAAATAGTAAAAGAGGGCCTCCCTGGTGGCACAAGGGGTTAAGTCAGCACTACCAAGTTATCAGCAGCCACTGCAGCATAAGTTTGATTCCTGGCCAGGGAGCTGGCCCACATGGCACAGCAGACCTCTTCTGTCTCACCCCCTTATTCCCTCAGCAGTGTATTTCAGCCAGTTTGCCTGTTCTGCTCCCTACTCTATCTCTGGTGAGTACTCTTGCCCCCCATCCCAGTTCTTGTATGCATAAATAAATAAATCTTTAAAATAAAAAAAAATAGCAAAACAAACACATTCCAACTTTTATCTAATTTGACTTTAGAACAGAACTTCATTGGGGTAAAATTAATTCTGTTTAGTTTCATCTAATATAATAGTGAACATAAAAAGATACATAGAAGTCTTAATTCTTTACTAACCAAAGTACCTCCAAACCCAAACAGTTTTTTCTAATAGAGTAACACTCTTGAATTAACAACTAATTCTAATATATCTTAGAATTTCCTGGACACTTGAAAGAAGATTCAAGTTATATGTTAAATCAAGCATAAGTGATCTTTTATTAACACTTACCAATGAATCCATTTTCAAAAACTCTGAAGAAATAAGAATTGATATGACATTTCCTGGCTCTGGAAAAAGAGAAAAAAATTAAATTCTCCTTTTGATTTGTACATCAATCTCCTCAGAACAGGTTCCTTCTCACCTTAAAAAAGGATGTTATAGGGCCTCGCTGGTGGCACAGGTGTTAAAGTCTCAGTGTGATCAAGCTATCGCCAGCACGAGTTGGATCCCAGGCCAAGGAGCTAATCCACATGGTGCAGCAGACCCCTCCTGTCTTGCCGCTACTCCCCTCAGCAGTGTATTTCAGTAGATCCGCCTGCTCTGCTCCCCATTCTGTCTCTGTTGAATCTTCTCACCTCCCCCCGACCTCTGGCCTACACCCCAGTTCTTGTATGCATAAATAAATAAAAATTAATCTTTAAAAAAAGGATGTTATACTTTAACATATATAACAAATTTTATATAATCTTACTGTATCATATAGTTCAAATGCATGAAAGAAAGAAAATATAATGTTATAAGTCAAGGAATAGAAGAAACTCATAATAAATTTGCCCTGAAACTAGATTCAGATCAAATAAAAAGACTTGACAGGAAGATATGACATACACAAACTTCTCCTTAACTAAATCAGGAGAAAAGATAATTAAAATTTAGAATGTAATTAATGTAATAAATCACATACCAAAATCAATGAGTTTTTAAATGATTAATGAGAGCACTTGTTGAAGTTATTTCAAAGACAGCTCAGTCCCTGTTTTGAACAAATATTTAATTAAAGAAATTCTAAGAGATAAACTTTACTACTACAGAAGGACTAAAGTTACTTCCTATAGGTACAGTAAATGAACTTTCAGAGGCAAAAACAGGGAAAGGGTGAGTGACAACATCGACTTGGCAGTGAAGAGACACTAGGATTAAGTTTTCCCATAAAAACAACTGATAGGGAGAAAAAATAGTAAGTTCCTGCAGGACCTGGACATATTAAACAAACTTGGTGATGCAGTGATTCACCCAGACACAGAAGAAAGCTGAAACAACAGGGGAAGGGAAGAGAGAAAAATCATTGGAACCCTTCTCCCCTCCCCCACCCACAAAGCTGGCCTACTTCATCTAGCAGAAAAGGAAAAAAGGCTTGGAGACCACAACACCCAGAGAATCCTGAGACATCTGGCAGGCCCAGACAGTGACAGGTGGGTAAATGGGGCCTTGGTGCAGGCACATAGCACTGGGCGCAAACCCCGGCACTGTGACACTTCCCCTTCTGGAGACTGGTGAGACCATTTAACTGGTCGCTCTTACCAGCAGGAAGGACATTAGGAGGAGCCTCATAGGGCTGATCCCTACTTTGGGGGCCTCAGGACTCCCACCCAACTATCTCATGGGCCCAGAAAGAGTGCTGATCTTTCCATCACCAATAGCTACAGTTCAACCCATACCCTTTTGTGTTCTTTTTTTTTTTTAATTTGTTTATACAAGCACTGAGTACAGTCAGAAGCGCGGGATGGTGAGAGAATTCACCAGAGCCAGAGCAGGGAGCAGAACAGGCAGACAGATGAAGTACACTGCTGAGGGGAGCAGTGGGCGGCAGGAAAGGTCTGCGTACCATGTGGGACCCTCCTCCGGTGGCCGGGGAGCAGCCGGGGATCCAACCAGCACTGCAGAGGCTGCGGGCAGCTTTGCAACCCAGCGCTCAACTGCTGCGCCACTGGGGAGGCCCCCTTTTGCGTTCATTTTTTACTCTCCCTCAATATACCACAAGGGAGATAGCGAGGGGAGGGGGACCCTGGGAAGACTATCCTACTCATTGAGTGCCCAGCAGACCAGACTCCCCAGCAGACAGACTAAAACAGCAATGACTAGCTTACTGGGAGCCATCAGAGTCCTGAGAAACAATTCTCCCCTCATCTGTTTTTGTGTTTCTTTGCTTATTGGTCAGATGGTTGTCTGTTGTTCCTTTCCGTCTTTCCTTTTCTGATTCTTCTATTTTTCTTCTTTCTCCCCTTCAACATTACCATCACTACTTTCTCGTCTCTGTTATATTCCCTCCTTTTCCACCTCCTCTTTCCTCTTCCCCCTATCTGACCCCTTTCTTTTTTCTGTCACCTGCATTCCTTTTACATTTCCTTAGCTTCCTCTTCTATCCTCTTATCCCTTCTTTCTCTTTCAATCCCCATATTCTTCTGAGACTTGCCTAGAGGGAACATCCCACCCAGCTGGTCAACATCCCACCCAGCCTTCAAGCATGTCCCAGTGGACTTGGCCTCAGCATGTGCCTGGAAGTGTAGTGCTCCACATGAGACTCTTGACTACCACAGACTGAGACACTGGATCCCATCCTATGTAGTGGGGGTCGGAAAAGCAGGGGCTCCTTGAGCAAATCACAGCTCAGAACAACACCTACCATAATAGAAGAGTGGCTGGACGTGCACCCAGGTGAGAACTGCAGGAATCCCCCCAACTCCCAAGTCTGGTAGCCCCCAATGCCCTGGGAAGAGTGAGAGGAACTACCACTTACCTAGAACAGGGGTACAGCTAAAGAGAGAGAAGGGGGAACCACAATAGCCATCACCTATACCTCTATCCACCAGCCACAGCAGCTCAGACACTAGGCAGACACATTCACACCTCAGCAATAGAAATCAGAAGTCATGCCCACCAGCACCAGTGGTACAGGGGCACTATGAATAGAGCAAAGCTGAAGGCTAACAATGGGAAGAAAGAAAAATAGAAATGATCAAGTAAGCCCTTCTGGGAACAATACACCATAGAAAGTAAGTCCACCTCCAGAACCTGATAATACGGACATGGAAGAATATCTACACCTAACAGATAAAGAATTCCAAAAGGCCATAATGAAAACAATTCAAGAGTTAAGAGAAAATGCAGAGAGATAAGAATATAATCAATGAGGAACAAGAAGGAATCCCTAAAGAACAAAGAGAAGGACTAGAGACTATCCAGAGATTAGTGAAGGAGCTCAAGAATTCTGGGAGAAGCCACAAAAATAGAAGAAATGGAAGAATGAATCAGCACTCTTGAAGATATAGATATAAAAAGAACCAAAAAAGAAAAGAAAAGGAAACCAAAATTTGGGTCTTCGAAAAAATAAAAATAAAACCTCTAGCCAGGCTCACAAAGAAAAAATAGGAGAAAGCACAAATAAATAGGATCATAAATGAAAGAGGAGAAATTATGACACAGCAGAAATCAAAATCATCAGAAATTTCTATGAACAGTTACATGCAAACAAGTTCAACAATCTAGTAGAGATGGACAAATTTCTAGAACTATACAATCATCCAAAGCTAAATAAAGAAGAAACAGAACACCCAATCAGACCAATTACAAGCAGTGAAATTGAAACGGTAATCAAAACTCTCCCCCAAACAAAACAAAAAAAAAACAAAACTCTCTCCCCAAAACAAAAGCCCACGAGCAGACGGCTTCACAAATGAATTCTATCAAATGTTTAGAAACAAACTAGCGCCTATCCTACACAAACTCTCTGAAAAAATTGAGAAGGAAGGAACACTACCAAATATATTTTATGAAGCCAACACTACACTAATACCAAAACCAAGCAAAAGAAAACTACAAGCCAATCTCTCTAATCAACACTGATGCAAAAATCCTCAATATAATCCTAGCCAACAGAATCCAACAATGCATCAATAAGATAATTCACTGTGACCAAGTGGGATTTATTCTAGGGGCACAAGGATGGTTCAATATCCCAAATCAATTAAAGTAATCCAACAGATCAACAAAAAGAAAAATAAAAACCATATGATCCTGTCAAATGCTGAGAAAGCATTTGACAAAGTTCAACATCCGTTTATCATGAAGGCCCTTGACACTTTTGGGATAGAAGGAACATACCTTAACATAATAAAAGCCATATATCACAAACCCATAGCTAATATTCTCAATTGTGAAAAGCTGAAAGCCTTTCCCTTAAGATCTGGAACAAGACCACTCTCACCGCTGCTTTTCAATATAAAAGTATAAGCCCTACCCAGAGCAATAAGACAAGAGAAAGACATACACGGAATCCAAATAGGGAAAGAAGTAGTAAAACTATCACTATTTGCAGATGATATAATATACATAGACAACCGTAGAAACGCCAAAGGAAAACTAATCAAAATAATAAACCAGTTTAGTAAAGTACCAGGATACAAAATTAGGGAAAGAAGTAGTAAAACTATGACTATTTGCAGATGATATAATATACATAGACAACTGTAGAAACTCCAAAGGAAAACTAATCAAAATAATCAACCAGTTTAGTAAAGTACCAGGACACAAAATTAGGGAAAGAAGTAGTAAAACGATCACTATTTGCAGATGATATAATATACACAGACAACCATAGAAACTCCAAAGGAAAACTAATCAAAATAATAAACCAGTTTAGTAAAGTACCAGGATACAAAATTAACACACAAAAATCAGTAGCCCTCCTATATGCAAGCAATTAATCTGCAAAAGAAGAAATGAAGAAAACCATCCCTTTTATAACAGAAACAAGAAAAATCAAATACCTGGGAATAAACCTAACAAAAGAGGTAAAGGACTTGCCCAAAGAAAATTATAAAACATGGTTAAAAGAAATAGAAGACAGAATAAAGAAAGGGGCCTCACTGGTGGCACAAGACGCAACCTATGAAGCAATCCGCAGCCACTGCAGCATGAGTTTGATCCCCAGACAGGGAGCAACACACGCGGCACAGTAGACCTCTCCAGACTCGCCCACTGCTCCCCTGAGCAGTGTATTTCAGTCAATCTGCCTGTTTTGTTCCCCACTCTGTCTCTGGTGGATCCTCCCACCCCCCACACCTCTGTACTTGTATGCATAAATAAATAAATCTTTAAAAAAATAAAACAAAGAAACAGAAAGACATCCCCTGCTCATGGGTTGCAAGAATTAACATTATCAAAATGGCCATCCTACCAAAATAAATTTACAGATTCAATGCTATTCCAATAGAAATTTTGATGATATTCTTCAAAGAAATAAAATAAATATTGAAGAAATTCATATGGAACCACAAAAATCCTCGAA